TTTCATTTTTTATAAAGACTTTTATTACATTTTGACAATAAGTTAAACAACTTGCTAAATTTCAAAAACCATTCACACATATCTCTCAGAAAAATAATGCAGAAATGTCTTTAGAAAAGCTGTTGCAAATTTACAAAAAAAAAACCTTTCAAGTAAAAACAAAACGCTGAACTTCAATAAAACAGAATTCATATTGAACTCTGCTGTTTTTTTCTGGTGTGCAAAAATCCAAAAATAGATTCATTTTCCACTGGTGGTACGTATGCAACTTTAAAGTTAAAATCACAATTGTGACCTGAACAGTTTTAGGGTAGAAAAACACTTTTAGAAATATCAAAAGCAGAGAAATGGAGGGTTGATAAGCACCAGTCGTCATTTTCTTTTAAAGGTCCCATGTCATGGCCATTTCTACTGATCATAATTCCATTGTTGAGGTCTACTGAAATAAATGTATATTGTGCAATGTTCCAAACTCACATTGGTTTCTCATACAGCATCTCTGTAAAGTATGTGTATTCACTCTCTGTCCTAAACGGCTTGTTGGACGGATTGGTCAATTTGGACCAATGGGTCCATTTGGGTATGGGCACGTCACTGTACCCAGGAAGAAAAAGAGAAATCTCCAACGAGGCGTTCTGGGGCAGCAGAGACAGGTCTTTTCTGTGTTAGAGTTTTACTCGCTACAGGGTGTACTTTGAGGGTTTGTGACTCTGCAGACCGTTTACATGCAGACAAACCTTCATAACACACAAGGGGACGGGTGATAACCAGAAAAGCATGACATGGGACCTTTACGACTTTTTACCTCAAATACAAACAGCTATATGCATGTTAGCACGGTACAGCTAGCTGCTATCAACCAGTGTGTGGCAATGACGGTTACCATGACAATGTTAATATTGTGAAAATCATGACAAGGACCAACACATCCAGCTAGGAAGTTGGTTTTGAATCTAAAAAAGGTATGGTTTGAATGGAAATGGGAGCGTAGAAACGGTATTTCAATCTCTATCACTTGTGTATCTGAGGTGTTGGTTTTCTCTCCTTTCCACTCGCCACTCTGTTTGACAGAGATTCCTGTAATGCAATTACTTATTCCTTTTTTTAAAAGCTTTTTGCTTTCTTAAATAGAATATCATCAGCCAAACATCCAGGGCACGAAACATCAAAGGACAAAACAAACATGACAGAAAAAAAAGCAAAGCACGGTCAAATGTACAGTAGAGGGTCAGTTCAAGGGTCGATGAAGGACACTGCGATGTAGCGGGTGCCGTTGGTGGTGTGCAGGCCTTCGTGGAGGTGGGTCAGGCGCCCCGGGTGCATGAGGCTCCACCCTTTCCTGGATGAAGCTACGGAGCAGTTGTACCTGTGGAAACGGCAACCCCCACCCTGAAACAGGAGAAAAGGTTCAGATTTCAGAGAAGATGATGTACAACAGGGGTGTCAAACTCAATTTCAGCGCCGGCCACATTCGCATTATGGTTGCACTCAAAGGGCCGGCTATAACTTTAAGACTATACAAAAATATACATACAGTACCAGTACAAATTCCAGGTGACTACATCATGAAGCCAAGCGTGTGCAAAGCTGTCATCAAGGCAAAAGGGGGCTACTTTGGATTTGTTTACGCTTTTTTGTTAACTAGATAATTCCATGTGTGTTCTTTTATAGTTTTGATGTCTTCAGTATTAATATACAAAGTAGAAAACAATTCAAATAAACAAAAACCATTGAATGAGAAGGTGTATCCAAGCTTTTGACTGGTAGTGTATATTATATATAAAATGTATATATTACATTATTGCCTCTGCATTGGATTATTATCGGTTTGGATAATAACTTCATAATTAACTACGTCTGAAAGCAGAAGTCTAGGGCAAATAATTGCAAGTCTCTTCTGTGCGTATGTCACAAATGAAATGCATTGTGGGACATGTAGTTTATGGGCAATGTGCTTTTGTAAAGCGGCATGTAACCGTATGATAAACGTATTATATTCTTTCAGAGCTCTTGCGGGCCACAGAAAATGAAGTGACGGGCCTTGAGTTTGACCCCCACTGATGTACAGTATGTGGGCAATCTCATCGTACATAATTCAGGCTTAGCGCTCTAATGTCATCATGCCCCCCCCCCCCCATGAACAAGTCCTTACCTGAAAGTCTGTGTCTTTGGCATTGAGGGCGATGTTGATGGTGAAGGTGGAGGAGTCGTGATGGGGCCTCAGGTACGCCTGCCTCTCAGGTGTGTATTTCACCACGAAGTTCATCACAGCGTATCCCTGTGATGAAGAGCAGGAATACATCAAGTCAGCTGACAGTCCATACATCTATCTTTGAAGAGGCATTTCTGTAGTGTTTTATAAAGGTGTGTGTGCATGTACATGGTCTGCAAAGGCTTAAACTATGGGTTCATAGTGACATCACTACTTAACACTTGTTCTTCTATTGGCTAGAGCTCCAACACATTGTACGTGATAGGCTAAGGGGCGGGACATATCTTAATGGTTGACCAATTACAACACTTAATAGCACTTTTTGAACATTAAGGTGTCAGAGTATAGCCACAAAATACAAATATGAACCTGGAAATGAGCTGAATGTCCTCTTGACAGACAGGAAAACATGTCAGCTACCCTAAATCACACATCTCATAAAAGAATGCCACTTTCCCGGCATGTAAAAACACGTTTCATGAAACAAATGAACTTTCTTTAGGCAAATAGACTTGGTTTTCACTTTTTATGTCACTTTTTATGACACTCACCTTAGTGAAGTAGCCGGAGAACACCTTTAACGTGACGGGCGATATGAACTCCCGGATGAAGTGCAGCCACTCTTTCTCGTAGCCGACCTGCTTCATGTGGATGTCGTCCGTCGGCACCGTCTCGTAGCCTCCGGAGATGCGCTTGTCCTGAGAAAAAGGATAGAAAATAAAACACACCGTGATTAACGACCCACCATCCTCAGTGTGTGAAGTGATGATGATGATGATGATGAGGACGTGTGTGTCTTTAAATCCTCAGGCTGTACTTCAGTCTGACTGCATGAAGCTTAATAGCCCATTCGAAACAGAGTTGGTCGAAGTATCCGTACATATTCAGTCTTCCAGGCAAACTTTTAGACACGTTAATTACCAATTTCAAACTACATAAAACAGGCCACTTGAAATAAACACCATAAACATGATTTATTTGGTAATATTTAAATGATGGAAATACAATTAAGCATGAGTGCCCTGACTCAAGTCATGCCTTTCCTAAAAATAAGACCGAGTTGTAGCTAAGAAAGGACAACATCTCCTTTTACATCTGGCTACCATGTAACCCCCACCCCATAAAAGGGTGTGAAAGGTAGCTTGAAAGTAACAGCCCACCCCAACATCAAAGACAGCAAACAAGACGTGTCTGTTATCGTAAATTTTACAAGGACACGTCTTTTTATTGGTGCGTGGCTTGGATTCATTACAAAAACCCACAAGACACAGAACGCTTCATCTTTACTATCATAATTATGTAACTCAGGCAATTGTTGTGAACGTTTTTTAGGGTTAGGGTTAGGGTTAGGGTGGCATCTTTTGAAGGTTAGAAATGAGCTTTTTTAAAGAGTAAATGTTGATTATATAAGCAGGATACAATAATGAATCACAATGTTTTATACTCTTGTGAAAAAATGTTTGCTTTACAAGCCTCTTAAAATTCAATTTCTGACAGTACATCTTATACACTGGTTCTTCAGAGTGTAATGAATTGGAGCCATAATATTATCCTTCACACATTCTTGCCCTTACAAAGATGTGTGAACCCAACCCCAGAGAAAATACATGTGTTGACTAAAGCCCTGTGTTCAGTAACAGCACTAACCTCATTTTTTCCCCCCGACCAAGAACCGTAGTGCTCCATCTCCTCCACGATTTCATCACAGGCCTTCTGTGAGAAGACTGGGAACCAGAAGACATCTGGGCAAGGCTGCAACACACACACACGCACACACACACACACACACACACACACACACACACACACACACACACACACACACACACACACACACACACACACAATGAGACCACTGAGAGCTGCAGACTTGATTCACACCTTCACCTTAAGCTTGGCGGGCTGTAATTTAATCCCTGCATGTTAAAAACCAGATGTAGGCGACATGATGTCATTCTTTCACTTTCTCTCAGTCTAACACAGATGCAAACGAATGAAAACGAACCTCCTCCATGACGTTCTCAGTGAAAATTCGAGAGTAGTTCGAGTGGATGTACTTCTCCTTCCAGTCCTGCAACGAGAACACTTTTTAGTTTTTTCTCTTGGACTTCTTTTGCTGACCTAAATACCTCAGTGAAATAATCCCCTCTCCCACAGGGCAGGTCCCAGCGTGATAAATACAGTCGTGAATCACAGAGCCTTATCAGTCAGGAGTCTTATCACGCTGAAGTCATTACCTCACATCTGTAATCCTTCCATTATGGCTAATAACCTTTTTACAGGTGGCTGCTGTTTATCTCAGCCATTCGGAACAATAATAGGTTTCTTTGTGCAACGAGAATAATGCGAGATCATAATGACTTACCGTGGGGTTTTCAAATATCTGCCACAAGTCATTGTTATAATGAGAAGTGTTATAATTGGCTGTGGAAATGAGCCTCCCAAAGTCGTGACGGTTTGTTATGTACATGAAGACTCCCTGCAGCAGACGGGGGGGGAAAAGTTCAGTCAGTTTCACACAAAGTTAAAATCTCTTTAATGTCTCACAGGCAGGATTTCTAACAGATCTACATAACTGTAATACATGCACATAAACGCTCTGCAGGTAATAGCCTTATTATGCTAACTCATCAATGCTAAGCACTGGCATTAAAACTGACAAACCGTTACTCGTGGCAAACTACTCTAAAGCTTCATTTGCCCAAGAATTAAGTATGATTTAAGTGTATTTTAACACACTGAAATCAAGTGGGTTGAACTTGGATAGAACCAAAAGAGATAGATAAATAATCTAGGATTATTTATGGGTTTGGGTGGGAGGGGAACAGGACAGGGTCGGGCAGTGGGGTGAGACAGGGGAGAAGCTTGGGATGAAGCAAATCCAGGAATAATATTCCCTCTACAGTGAAGCACGCTGTGTTCGGGGGGTTTCGACTCTATCAGACTAGGCTTTGAAGAGAATAGATGAATAGCACTTTTGTTTTCTTAGTGCATGTTTCCAATTTATGTACAAATTAATCTTGTGAAAGCTGTGATTTGGACCAGATGGTTTACACGAGTGAAAGGAAATGTGGATTGAGCCTAGTCTGAGATCAGTCGGTGTGTTCAGGGAGCAGATGGTTACATATGTTTCCTGTTGGTTTGGGGTAAAGCATCAGGACAGGGGACTCCAACCTTCTCTCTACTCCATCTACTCTTGGATGCCATTGGAAATACAGGATATTTATACCTTTTAGCTTGGACAAATATCAGATTTTAGACCTAGACTAAAGCATATGTCAACATCAATTTCCAAGGAGCTGCTAGGCATCCTGATTTCTTATGTAAGCATATAGGCAGCGACCACATATTGCATTTGATATGTAACTGCCAAATCTGAAATAATGCTTGTTTTTCTTCCAATGGAGAATACAGCAATTAAGAAACATTCATTCTTAGCATTCTACTGAATAAATACCCTCTCTTTTACAGAATTGACCGTAGACGGGGCCAATATATTCTCATTCGGTTGCATTGCTTTTGCAAGAGTCTGCCTGAAATGAGCCACTGCTTAAGAGTGGCTCTTAGTTGCTAACCCATTGGAAATGTATGTTTCAGAAAGCAGAATAATCAAAACAAATGGAGAACCTTTGGGGGCCTGAGCATATGGAATGATTCCGGAGAAGGGGAGTCTTTTTCTCTGTGACTGGTCTAAAATAAAGGAGAAGCATTGGGTAAATAACAAAAATATCGTTGCAGAATAAGAGACAGGGTGACTCATGAAATATTTCACGTACATGCGCCTGACAAAAGACCAAGGTTCCCTCTGAAGCTGATGTTTTTGTGGGTTAACATGGGAAACATGCATGCTGGGAAAAAGACCAAGCGATCCAGATGTACACCAAGTTTGGATCCGACATGGTAGTTGTTATAGATGACATGTGAGTGATAAAAGAAAACCCATCTGGAGGATCAGTTTATAAGGGAAAAGAGACAAGACAATCTTTTTTAAGCATGGCATTGCAGCTGTGTGTGGACACGAGCAAGAGAAAGTGAAGGATTCTGGGATAGAAGTGGAGAAGAGAACATGAATGCACCAGAGAGCAACTGTAAACAGAGGTGGTTCATGCCTTGACTTTAGACAAAGACATTTCAAACCACTTATACTTGCCAGACTTTGGTTTCCGTTGAAGCGTTGACTTTGTCAGGGTAGTAATGCATCGTATAAATACACCTAACGGTAGCTTTGCCTTTCATGCAGACATCTTTTTATAAACGCTACACCACTATAATATCTGATGCACATATCCCTGAAGATGGAGGTTGAGTTTTCTTACCATTTCTCTGGAATTTCTACAAAGAGCCATATCTGGGTCTAGTTTCCCCAGCACAAAGTAGTTCTTCTCCTTCAGTTCATTCCTCAAGGTGCTGCCTTTGACGAGGTATACATGGGCCATGAAAGGAATGTTCCACAAACCCCTAGAAACACCAAGACAGAGATAAGAAGAAGTGTTACATTGCTGTTAAAACTGCAGGTGCATTGCAGGAGCATTTTGTATCTGTTCAGTTAACATTAGCTGACTATTTGGGGGACGTTTGGTTCCCCTGAAATGTACCCCCTCAGTTTGACACGACCAATTCGACTTGCTTTACCCTTTTTGTCTTTGAGGTGTATGCTATCTCCAGATCCTGACCCTCTCTGCCCACACACAGGAGGAGACTGAAGACTGTCTTCCTGCCCACAGGGTCGCGGGTGATTAAATCTGGGTTTCTCCTGTGGCGGGGGAACGTCTAAATGTGCACCATCTGGGCACCATTTCAACTTATTTTTAAACACATAAAAAAAAGAGAGGAGAAATGAAACGCCTCGGGCTTTAATGTACAGTACTAAATCATTGATTGTGGCTTTAGTGACAGGACTCCAGGATGGTGCTCCTATAGAAGGGATCATATGTGGGCCATGCATGAGATAACTATTTCATCACAATGCTAAAGATTTATGAGCGATCATACTGGTGTGTGAACCATACAAATGCAAACATTGTGTGTATCCTTCTGCACTTACACACGTTTTCTCTGCACAATGTCGATGTAATCTTCGGAGCGAGCGTAATAACCATCCAGACTCAAGCCTCCCCAGAAGTTGGACCACAGCTTGCCGTGGCGGGTGACAAGGGGACCAATTATTTTCCTGTAGGGAGGCGGGAGGCAGAGTGTGGAGATGGTAATTCTGTCAGAGCAGATAAAGATCAGTGACTTTGCACGGAGAGGTCTTGCTGCATGGAGGACATGAACCTCTCTGGAAAGATATAATCGCGGCCAACTTATCATATTGGGGAAATAATGAAAACCATAGCTGCAAATCATGCTCGAGTGGATCCAGTATAACGGTGTGCTGTTTTTCTAAGCCACGAATCTGCTCTGTTTCTTTGAATTTGACATAGACCCAGATTAACAATGTGTTTTTCCACTGCTGTTCTTTTTCTCTTACGAACCAAAACCACAATGACATGGATTTTCTTTTATGAAATCAACTTGGCTGGGTAGAAATAATGGAACCATAAATCATAGTGTTGGTTGATATGGAGTATAATAATGCAAACGTTTATTTTGGTGGAGAAACTGGCATTTCCCTCCTATAACTTGAGTGCCAGCAGAGAGTTCTCATGCACTCTTTAAATAACCTGAAGGGGTTTTACGCTGCATGCCTTCAGGTCACAATGCCATGCCACTGGCACAAAGACATCCAGTTTATGGGAAGGTTTCTTTAAAATCACCAGCTGTTTGTTTTTGTGTATAATGCAAAGTGGCATTTCGAGGTTAGTGCAACAGACTCGATCACGGTTTCCATGTGCCCAGTCGAAAACAGGAAGCCAGAGCGGCTGTTTTTAAACTTTCATTCACTCGCCTGTAATGTTTCTGTGGTTCTGCCACTTTCAATGCTTCAACGATCACAACAACTACTGTACCAGGGAGGCTCGTTGAACCGGTTCCAGTGTGGTTTCTATTCCAGCTACCATATGATTACCTGTTCTGCTCCACGAGGAGCTTCAGTGTCTGTCTGTTGGTGAGCATCACGTCTGAATCCATGCTGAAGTAGAAGTCGCACGTAACATCCTTACGGCAAATATCCCTAATGAAACCCAGAAAAAACAGACATAGCAGAGAAAGTAGTGATTATTGGATCCACGGCTGATTACAGTCAATTAAATACTTGGTAGTAATCACGCTCACAAGTTAGAGTTTATCAGCGACTAAGTATAAGATGCCATCTTCAATTGCAGACCTAGACTCTCGTGCTGACTCTCCTCAAGCCTCCAGCGGATAATGTGATTTTTTAGAAGATTAGAGACCGGTAATAAACCTTTGACTTCTTCATTATAGGGCTGTCCTTTTAAAGGCATACTTTGTTTTTGATAGGATCTCTGTGATTGAATTATCACTGTAGCAACAGACCTTCACTAAACATTGAGCAATATACTGTCGGAGGAATCAGGGAGAAAAGCTGCAGTATGTCACTGACTGTGCACAATCCTGTAGGCTTGAGCCAAGAAAGGACACATTATTACAACTCTGCAGATGTTACTAGTGAGCCGACATAAATAAAGTTTAATGGGAACATCTTGGTGCAAAGAGAGCCTGTCGTAGCCACCTGGGAAGCTATGCATTAACATTTGTTTGGATACTAAGTGGTTTGTTTTCAATAAATACCCATCCTTCAAGCACCATCTAGAGGAACTAGTCATTTAACATGCAAGGCTTCCTTCTGGGGCCAAAAGCACCATCATCTGGTTTCATCATGTGTTCTTTAAACCACAGGTTCCTAGAGATGATGGATTTAGAGACATACATGCCCATGTTCCTGGCCTCTCCTTGGCTCAGATTTTCCTCCGGTCCCACAACCTTGAAAGTGTTGAACACATTCCGGTTCTCTTCCCAGAACTTCTGGATGTGCTTCTCGTGGTAAACCTCCTGAGCAGAGAGCCAATATTAATGCGTTAGAAGCCAAATGTAAGGACCAATGCACGGTAGAGATCTGCAGCTGCACACACTCACATTGTTGTGGACAAAGACTTTGAGTTTATCTTTGGGGTAGTCCAGTGTCAGCAGCCGGTGGAAGAACTCAGGAAGGAACGGGGTCGGCTGCTCGATGAACACTCCAACCAAAACATTCGGATACTCCTGTTTACATTAGAGAGAAGACAAATTAGCATTACTTCACACGACAGGTCTTGGTGTAGGAACTCTGTTTAAAGATGAATCATGGAGGATTTGACATTTCCCTTCAGACGGAAACAAACTTTAAAGTTGCAGCAGATGTCGGCCATTAACACATTCTGTTTGCTTTAATGTCACTTTCTCTGTTATCTTAAAAGAACAATTGTTAACATTTATGAGTGGTGCAGATAGGTCAGTTGGAGTCTATCAGGAATTCTATCCAAGTTGCCACGTATTGCTCTTTTCAGAAGACAGTTCATGTACAAAATAATGGCTCGGACAGGCGAAGAATACTCTTTAAACACAAACAGCAAGCGACACAGAGAAGAAAGGAGGAAACATTTTCCCATGACCCTCAGCTCCAGCCCACACAGCTCAGTCTGCTCTCCTCATCCTCTTGACCAGTTCACAGCAACGGTCTGGACCCGGGATGAAAAGGGATCCGAGCCGAACCGTCTAATTTGCAAGTTCCACAATTACTGTGCTTCATGCACATGCAGAGGGATGTCAAGCATCTTGCCAATGTCAGCCTAAATTCTTACGGACGTACAGTGGACAGGCAGCGAAAGGAAAGGAGTGGCAAAAAGGGCACGGAAAAGTATAACTAAAGCATCTATTAAAGCAGACAGGAGTAAGTTGAGAGTGGCTCCCGCAGTATATAATAGTGTTGCAACACTCAGAGTATCTTTGCAAAAGCTTAAGCCCAAAACCAAAGTACACAAAGCACCAAGCTAATCAGTAGGTGACCTGGTTTTACCCCAAAAGAAAGGCCTGGACACTGTATGACCAGTGTTTCCACTTGACCTAATCTTACAGACAAAACACAGAGAGGCACAGCGGAGTGAAACGTCCACACTAACTTCCCTATTATTGCAAAGCAGCATTTTTCTGCATTCATTATGGAAGGTCACTGAGAGCAGCGTTCACAGAGATGCCTTTCATGTAGCTGGGTTTGCATTGAATCCGCTCCAGTTCTACTAGTTAAGGATTTTTTTTTTATGGAGCCCTACAGAATTGCAGGAAAGGTAATAAGATACAGGATTCAGTAATATGTGAGAGACAATGTGTTTGTAAAGTGCATGGGGTACATTTTGTAACACTGAACAGGATTGTACCAAACTCATTTGCAATAAACAGAAAAAACTGAATTAAAGTTTCACAATACTGTTGACAGAGACATATTCTAGTGCCTGCCATTCCTGCAGCTATACGTCCCAGCCTTTGCTGAACCCCGTGTCAAATTTCCAGCGTAACCACTTAACTTACTATGGTGGATAAAACCCATACTGAGAAGCCCACTAAAAGGCAGGCTGGTTGACAGTGACACCCCTTTAAATGAGCCCTTCTTAAAACCCCAGAAGCCATATCCTGCACCACAGCACTGCAATGCTTCCTTTTTCCTCCAAGTAGTTTCCCCTGGCACGTATGCTCTTTTAAAAGGGTCCAAAAGGACCAACGGGCACGTAACCTATTATTGTTGGGAAGGCAGTGTGTGCAGCACCGTTTGAAAGAGCATATCTGTTGAAATAGGACAAGCTGGGCACCACCCCGACTGTCTAGACGGTCACTGATAGATGGATGGGTCATGCTGGAAGACCAAGACATATTTGATGCTTTCCTGTGCCCGCAGGGAGGTGGACTGATACACAGTTTCCACAGCAGCACTTTAAAAATCAACAAAGCAAATAGAGGGGAAATGATTGAATTGAATCGCCCTTACTTTTAACTGAGATAAATCCAGAATGTCGTCGTCACAGTGGCTGCAGCCATGCTCATAGTTCCATGTGTTGGGGACGTAGTTGGCCAAGTGGTTCAAGTATATCTGTAAAGGAAAGAAGAGCAGGTCAATGCCAGGTTACACTACATTTATATCAGCATGAGCAAAGACTTTAGATATTTTCTGTGATTCAGTGGAGCTCTCTTATCTCTTAGGATTTGTTAGGTTGGAATATGTGGATATTCAACCGAGTAATTTATTGTTGAAATTTGATCAGGAAGAATCTGACACACAGTGCCATACATGTGTATCCTAGAGAAATGGAGACGACTTGTGTAATTATCCCTTTTTTTCTCGGTTGTCTTTATAATTCAACATTGTGACTATTATTATCTATGCTCTGTATTTAGTGTGAACCAAAAGTTGCACATTCATCTGGAAGATAGTAGTTTCCGTGCATTACTGCTAACAGATCTCAGTATCAGATTGTTTCCAAGATGAACTCTGCATTATAACTGGAAAAATAAACGAATGGTTGGTAATCCAGCCAGGCAGCTGAAATGGTCAGAACCACAGCTAGGTTAAGGAGTCTGTGAACTCCTGGGGTGTTGAGCTTCTCCGGGAATAATGACTCAATAGTTTGTCGGGTTTGGTTCATTACCAAGGAAGGCCAGAGAGAGGCAGCTGGTGGTGGTGACGTGTGAAGAGATGGGGGGACGGAAAGAGAAAAGCTCCACAAGTTCATGATAGCACACGGTCATCCTGCGTTTCAGCATGCTAAGACCATTACTGTAATTTACCCAGAGTGATGGAGAAAATAAAATGGGGCCCACATGGCCTTGCAGCCTATAGTTTTAGCCAAACCTCCACTGAATAAAGAGCTGGCTCCGTACTACTGGAAACTATCATATGCACAGTTTTGATATTTCTTGAAGTGGTGCGCTGAAAATCTTTGGTAACAGAAACTTGTCTGCAAATGGAAATGAGTTCAACAATAAAAAACAAAGCTAATGTCGTAGAGGTGTAACTTGAAAGTATTTCATCTGTGCCATACGTACTGTGTTAGGTGTGCCGGAGGGTGTCTTACTTACTTTAGTATTTCCGTTTCCATGGACAACCACTGGCAGAGAGTCGTACACGGTGTTTCTAACTCTTACGAGGTTTGTTCCAAACTTGAGAAGCACTTCGTCTGCCAAAAAGAGGAACAAGATACATTTCAAGTTAGGAAATGTAAATCGACTCACCACATGGGCTGAGGCTGTGAAGGTTTATAACTTAGACGGTACACTGCCAAGCCTACAAGTACTCAGAATTTGTTGTTGCGTTTAACAGAGTGTAGGAGCAAGACAGTATCATGTTGGTTGAAGTTAGCTTAGCCAAATAAAAAACATAAGCAGGACATTTATTTGAATTCAATTTCTGAGATTTCTCACCAACGGCCCCGTTCAGGTTCTGGAAAATCTGGCACTTGTGGTCCAAAGTCATATTGAGAGTGTGCTGGGAGACATGAAAAAGTAGATTATTATGCCATCCAGTTTGTAATATGGATATCATCTCTTATTAAGTGTTGGCTTTGACATGAGATACTTACTCGCTGTAAAGGATCCACGTATATTTTGGTGTAGAAGAGCTGGTCGTCATCATTATCATGGAGGTTCCACTGTGTAACAACCTTGTTTATAAACGGGGCGTATCCAATTATGCCTGAAAGCAATAAACACCGTCAAACGCATATCCTCGGGGAAAAGTATACGCTTGAGAAACGTTTACAAGGTTATACACGACTGGTAGACTGTTGGTGACAATTACAGTATACTGCCTGGATGCCTTACATCTTTGGCAATAATCCCAAACACACAAGAAATGGGCAGAGACGCTCTCTTCCCACAGTCTGTAGATAGAACAGAGTGCAGTAAGAGTTGTAATCTATATGTTATAACTGTGTGCCAGTATCTCACATCCTCTTTAAATGTACACTCTCATGGCAATCTACAGTTATACCCGGTCACCTCTCTTTCCCCTCTCTTGACCACACTGACTCTTGACCACACTGACAGATTGCAGGGTTTGCCTGTGTTGCTGGACATTTTGTATCCCATCATTTAAAGCAAAAGTAAAACTCCCAGACGCTGTAAACAAGTCAACGGATGACATCATCTAAAAAGTAGGAGCAATAAAAAGGAAATCATGATATTTTATGCAAATCAAAATTGTCGGTAGCTTAGCCACAAAATGAGGGCTTTAAAATCCCGGAGAGTGCTGGGAACGGCATGCATTTTTGACCCAAACAACTATTGTGTGCTCTGCTGGACCCTGTGCACAATAGTCTGACTGCAACGTAAAAAAATATGACTATCTTGCAACTCTTATTGCTAAGCCCCTCATTAGTTTCAGGTTTATAGTATTACCTTGGTTTTAGAGTAGACTGACAAACCAACTGTCTCTTGATTAATTCAACAAAATACCGTTGTCTCTGTGACACAGTAGTGTGTGTCTGGTCTCTATTACACTCTACCAATGGTCACTTGGGAGGTAGCTTTAGCAACACAAACAAAACCGGCAATTTTATACACACTGTGGTACAGTCTAGGGTCCAAGACAAATCTACATGACATGTCGATGACAATGAATGCTAAAAAGGTTCTCTGATCGGCAGTTACGCTCCAGCATGGGAGGCAGTGACCACAGAGAAACCAGTCATTTGAAGTCCTAGACAAATGGCAGGATGCAGTCTGCCATGTCATCTGGATTATGGATATGAATGTACTGTTACTGTCTGCTGTTGTTAACTATCTTTGGATGTATTCAGTTCAGAAATGAGGGTGACCTATAGAAATCTAGAGTAACATTCCCCTTCTTGGACAGGAAATACCTCAAGGAGACAGTTTACAGGGAAAATATACATCCAATTTAAACCAAGAGATACTAATAAAAGTCCTGCGGTTTTATATTTTAAAACCAACTCCAGTTTGTTATTCCTTGAAGCCGTCCCACCACTCTTTAGACGAATAACAGCGAGGCCTCACTGCTGCTCAGCCCCCTGAATTCCTACATGGCCTGCATGTCTTCAACGTTTGACAGCTAAAGGGGGAAAGTATAAACCTTTTCGCACCCACAGAAGTTATGTGTTTACCACCAGGTTACCCAAACAGTGTCACCTGCCAGTTGAGTATTTGAGGATCACCTTTGCATTATACAAACAATGTGTTTAAAGCCTGTCTAGTCCGGTGACCTGTCCAAACATTGTCATTTTTAGAATTTTAAAAACCCACCTCCAGAGTTGAGGTAGCGCTTTCCACTGCGGACTGACGGGTACTTGTCAGCTAGCTTCTTATCCGGCCAGATCAGCCCGTCTGCAGCGAAGAGCACTTTGTGATTGGCCTGCTGGAACTTCCTGAGAATCTCTTCTGGTCCCGCAGCAAAGATAAGATCATAGCTAACAGGGAGAGGTGAAGGGGAAACAAAACAAATCATTCCTTTACCCTTTGAGAATGTGTTATCTTCATCTGACACACCCTAGGTTTCTACTTGTTTGAGATCTAAATCTTACCTGTAAACATTGAACATTCTTCATGAGTGAGCCAATATTCCTGTCAGGTATTTCAAAGAGTCCTGCTTTTAATGGATATACATACTCAAAAACGATGCCAGTGCATGCATGGTCTATGCACAACCCTTTAAATGGACATGGTGCTGACTGTTTAAAAAGCACTCTGCTCAAAGGGCAGATATTTTAGGATGTGGAAACTTCTAATGTTCGTAACGGTAAAAGCGCTAATTCATTTCCACAGAGCTATAAAATGTCCTCTCGTGGGTGTGACTTTGATTCTCCACATGTGCCAGTGAACTGTACACAGTAGTCTAAAATGGACCAACCCTCTCCTGTATACAAACAGTTTATATGAGGTGGCAGGAAAAGGGAAAGCCACCTCCCAGGTATGTACAGAGAGGAAGAGAAATGTAATGTAGGTGAGGAAGCCTGTCTGTCCTACTGTGTCCACATCTGGCCGACACATGTTCCTAAACGCACCCCCTGACCCTTGTTAACCCATCAATCATAGTTACTGCTTCTTGTACTGCATCCATCTTTTATGATCTGGAATTCATGACAAGTTAAAAAAATGGATGATAAGAAAATAAATGTAATACATGGCCTTGGAATGAAATGGTCTGTTTTTAAAGGGGCCCTATTCTGCTCTTCTTCATGTTCATATCAGTATGTAGTGTCTCTACTGGGACATGTCTCGTTCAAAAAGCTCTTTAATTGTATCATACTGCCTGTGCAAAAGCACAGTTAGGTCCTCTTTAAAAGAAGGACCGAACATATTTTCATACAGACGTGTGGTATTTAGCAATATGGGGACACAAATAACTGGTTCAATGTTTCAAAAGGCATTTCTATACACATGAACGTCCTGCCAATTCCTAATGTGCATCGGCATGCAATCATTTTCTCTTAGGAACTTCAGCCTGCGCTCAGAAGCCCAACAACACAGTGACTGAATTTCAATTCCACTTAACATTTCAGTGAGTGAATTACATTAGGGACACAATGTAAGGCTGTGACTGAAGCAGACACTGTAAGAGCATGATTATATTTAAAATACATTTTAAAAGTCTCATAATCTTCCGTGAAGTGCAGATGCAGTTTCTTCCAGGAAAACATTCCAATTACCTGTTTCAAGGGTGTGACAAGTTTGCAGAGCAATTATAGCTCACATCATTCATGTGACACGGTGCACTAAGTATCATCATCTTGAGCTCCATTTGAGGAAATATGGCCTGCAAAGCTGTTATTATTCTAAACCACTCACATTAACTCAGTAAAACTTTCCATCGGCTTTGAAAAGTCATAATTCAGCTACCTGCAAGTGAACATTACTCCCCTCATATACTTGCCGACGCTCTGTAATAATGCCTTTACATGAATGAGTGGGGGGGGGTAAAGCTAAATAAAGGTGATCTCCTCTCAGTGGGGAGGCATCGCTCTCATGGTAACTGTTATAGTCTGTGATTGTGACAATTAGTTTAATTTCTAATGTATAGATCTGCACGGCAATTCAAGGTGTTCTGCATCCCTCTCTTGTTTTGAAGTATTTTCAAGTCAAAGCTAAATCAGAACAAACAATCTCTAAGAAGAGGCACACACGCACACACGCACACACGCACACACACACACACACACACACACCGACAGATACACACACACCGACACACACACACACCGACAGACACACAGGCACACACACCCCCCCACGCACACACACACACACCGACAGACAGACAGACAGACAGACAGACACACACACACACACACACCAACACCGACACATACACACACCGACACACACACACACACACACCGACAGACACACACACCGACAGACACACACACCGACAGACACACACACCGACAGACACACACACCGACAGACACACACACCGACACACACACACACACACACACACCGACAGACAGACAGACAGACACACACACCAACACCGACACACACACACACACACACACACACACACACACACACACACACACACCGACACACACACACACACACCGACAGACAGACACCCACACACACACACACACACACACACACACACACACAAACACCGACACACACACACACACACCGACAGACAGACACACACACACACACACACACACACACACACACACACACACCGACAGACAGACAGACAGACACACACACCAACACCGACACACACACCGACACACACACACACACACCGACACACCGACACACACACACACACCGACACCGACAGACAGACACCCACACACACACACACACAAACACCGACACACACACACACACACCGACAGACACACACACACACACACACACACACACACACACACACACACACACACACACACACACACACACACACACACACACACACACACACACACACACACCGACAGACACACACACACGACGACACCACGCACCGCACACACACACGCACGCACACACACACACAACACACACACACACACACACACCCACACACACACACATCACCACACACACACCACACACACACACACACACACACACACACACACAACACACACACACACACACACACACACACACACACACACACACACACACTCTTTGTTGGATGCAAACATTACATCAGAACAAGGGAATGAACCTCCCTACTGTATTTTAAGGTGAACAGATAGGCTTAGGAATTTCTGTCTTTAAAGGCAGGGCAAGTTTATTTATACAGCACCTTTCAGCACACGGCACTTTAAAGACGCCCTGTTATGCTTTTTGGGGTTTTCCCTTTCCTGAAGTGTGTTTATTTAGGTTGTTGTGCATGTAAATGGTCAGCAAAGACTAACATCCCTGTGTTCCCTCCATAGGGAGCTTCTCATTTTGTCAACGTACCTGTCCACGGTAAGGACAACCAGATCCTCCTGGTCAGCGAGCGCCTCCATGGCCTCCTTCAGTAGTCTGACTTTTTGCCCTCCACCAATAGAACGGCCCACGTCTCCACCTTTCCACGGCTCTCCCATTCCCAACACCTGAGACGGAAAATATGTTTTAATCTCTAAAAATCACATGTTGACAGTGGGGAGACATGTTTCACCCATCTTCTAAAGTGTAGTAAGATTGGTACTTCAAGGCAATTATGTTACCCTTTTGAACCAGTGCTAGAACATTTCATAAGCTTGTGTGTCAGTGCTGCCAACAAACAGAACCGCACTATCTCAGTAGAGCAACAGTAAACGGAAAAAAGCTCTACATTTGCTCTCATTGGTTTTTCTGGACGAAGATGAGACACACCAAGCCAGGAGAAGCAATATAATCAAGCAAAGCATAACAGGAAATGGACAACATTAACTCGAAAAGTCGGCCGCTGAGGGCTCAAAAAGGCTAGAAAAGTAGCTTGAAGTGAGCGCCTGCAGGAGTTAGATTACTGCGGGGTCACACAGAGAAGCAGAGTATGGAGCAAACGCAGGCGCTGCACTAACTCTGACCTCCAACAATGTTTTCTTTCACCGCTGGTTTCAACCTCAGAAGGGAATTCTGGACCCACATCGGGGAGTATCCCTTTAAGATGGATGTTTTTGCAGCTTGGTGCACTTCATTGTTTCCTTTTAAAGGCCTAATCAATCTTGGGAGGTGTGGGATGAAAACATTTGGCTGCTCTGTGTGTGTTTATGTGAGAGAGAGAGCAGCCTCGTAAGCTGGGACACACTGTGGGTGTACTATTAGAATCTTACCTTCACATTGTACTTGAAGTAGTTTGCAGACTTCATGAAGCGGAGGAATCCGTCTGTTTCCTCTGTTGCGACTGTTAGAACCAGCAATTTCTCTGCAAAGAAAGAAAAACATTTCCACAAACTTACTTATGGGTCTCGTAAAGTCATCACATATTTTTTTGCGGACCAAATTATAGGGATGTGCGGAGATACTCTTTCAGCTGGAAACAGTGACATTTTAGTTTGTGAAATGAGAGCCTGGTTTACATCGAAGGGTATCCACGGAAATACGGTTAGTGTTTGACGCTTATATAAGTATTGAGATTCCCTATTCTGTGGAACGAGTTCCTTGTAAACCTCAGACCTATGTCAACAAACCGGCAGCTATTTGGTTTCATAGTCTAAACCTACATCTCAAATTAGGAACTACTGCCGTTTTGATCTCATTCAAAAGAAGAACTATTTTTTTAAACTCTGACCAAATCATTTTTACTCCTCTTTGGTTAAAAGAACATCCACAAACCTGAGTGCTGAAATCTGAGGTTTGACAAAGGGTAGACCAAGTACAAATTAGCACCATAGCCTCATGTGAAGCGACAGAGAGGCAGATTACACCCACTAGCTTTCTCTTGTACCGGCTTGATTAGAAAGCAGAATCTGATAGTGAGCCAAGGAGGGAAGTCCTCTGAATCTCTAGAGAATCAAACCCCATACTGGTTCATTACCATTGAGCAAAATGCAGTTCAGTGCAGGCCAACAAAAAGTCAATGACATTTTAATATTTCTTTATTGAACCACTTCAATACTAATCCTACTTTTTATTGTTTCAAGGGCCAATCTGCGCTCTATTTAATATGCAGCAGTATGTGCCAACCGAACCCTCGTAAAGGAATTATTGGACATTGGCAAGTAGCGTTGGAAGTGTGACAGAGGCCAGAAAGAGTGCAATGTGTCCCAGTACACAGTTAAAAAGCTGGAATACACAGATTGGCATTTATTTATTGAGATTTGAAAGTGTTGTGGTTTTCATTGGTTAGTAATATTACTAGGAATGTAACGATTTAAGGATAGGATATGTGACGTCACTTTTCATCCGGTACAGTTCCCTCACGACAGCTTGCAGAGCGGACATCAAAACCTCTATGGTGGCCATTGAAAGGGGAAGTAGTAATGTGGATATGGACGTCTCCTAGAAATGGACATCTGAATCAAAAAACGCTTAAAAGTTGGGCTTGAATTTACTTTTCGAACATCCACTGTATTTTCTTCTTTATTCCAATACCAAAGAAGTACATTGAACAAAGCCTGAGCGTGCAAGAACAGTTTCTTAATAATTGTGTTGGCAGAATAATCATAATCATCCAGCTCCCACCCACTCATCACACTTAAGTATATTACAGGCAGCCTCCTGACAGAACTTTTCCATCCATTTCCAGTCATTGAGACTTAGTCATGGTCTCATCCCGTCTAGCCTGTGGCCCTGTCGTCACTTTAATAGCCTTTCCAGGTCTTCTCCGACACAGAGGTTCTGTTACGGGTCACGAATAGTTGTCTGTCTGCCTCGATCCTTACAGCATCAGGTGAGCGACATAGCGAAGGAATTGGCAGATTCAGAGAAACCTGGGATTTAGATTAAGCTGCGCTCAGAGGGAGGGGATTCTGAGGAACAGGTGTGTCCATGTTCATGTTCTTGGCTTGGGATGATGACGCAGTGCAAGGGTTAGCATCTGGAACATCTGGGTTACACATTTTTAGCCGATTAGGTGTGCTGAATGTAATAATTCATGAATGTTTTGTATGCCAGAGAGATATGTATGAATCAAACCCGACACTATCTCCTTTTTTGGTGTCTGACGCAGATTGTGCGCAACGCTTAGGGAATTAAAAAAAAATATATTAATCATATCGTCTTTCCTGGAAGCTATTAAAACACAAAGTTCCATAACAAATACATTTGATTGATTTTTCTTTTTGTAAAGTAAAGGAAATGGTTGGAAACAGCCTCTTTCATTCAACATGTGTGGGTGGAGAGTATCTGTGTTATTTAAGGGTCCGGTAAGCTGTTCTGACAGAGTATTCTTAGGAATTTCCTGCTGGGATTTCTTGGCAATATTTGTAGACGTCAAGGAAAAATCTATATTTCGTAATGCTGTGAAAACTCCCAGGACATATGTTTTATATTTCTCTTTGCAATGAACTCAGCTATCTTTTTAACCAGTGGACTTGTTTGCATTTGAGCAGCAGTGAGCTGCTTCGAACCCTATTTTCACTACATTTTTAAAGACTTCCTACACATAAGGAGCTGGGATTCTGCCATTGAACACAGTAAAACTGACTTGTACTTGATGTCAGGGACACGTTTGCTGTCAGGCGGAAACGGCTCATACCCCTCGCTGACTTTGTGACCTTACAGAACCTCCTCATCTTCCCCCCGTCGTAAACATGCAGGCCACATGAGTGCATCCCAACAAGCAAGCTCCCAGTTAAGTACAGTCTGTCGACGCTAACCACCTTTGATTTAAAGGAGATGAAAGAAGCACTTTTATTTCTTACATCAAAGTTCTTATTCCAAACACCTCAGCAGATCTCTTCCAGGGCTTTTCCATACACAACGTTTCCCAGTGGCCTCATGTGAACTAAGGCTGGAAACCTTAGCTAGGTATTTTGACATGTTCTCTAAACACAACGTACCTAGGGAACAATCATCTGCTAATTATATTTCAAACCAAGGCCATACATGTGTTTTCATATCATGTTCAACTGGGGGCTGCTATGACTTCATATTTAGATTTTCTTCTTATTAACAGAAGAACACATACTTTCACATTTAAATACACAGTTTAGAACCGGGCTGATTATCAAGTTCTTTAAATCCCTCTGATAATGAAGCGACCTAAGGCACAGATGGCTACTCTGAAAAGGGAGAGGTTTTTTAGACAGCCGTGATTATGGAGGATGAGTGTCTCGTCAGAGTAAACAGTCTTATGTCGGGACGGTACGAACAGCCCACAGGAGGAGAGGAATGCAGCTCAAACTGCTGCTGTAACTCCTCTCCAAGAAAGGCATGAACCCCAAACGCTCTCTCACTGTTTCTTCTCTGAACCACATGGACCGGCCGTCTAGGTAAACTTTCACACTTCAATGAGCAAAATCTCTGACTCGCTGGCTCGGGCGAAGCTTGAGTAAGCATTTCTTCCAGAGAGGAAAGTGGTACCATGGGAATATTCCCCGGCCTTGAGCTGAAGGATAACAGGATCTTTCCTATTTGACGAGACGGTTCTGGACAGGGAACCGCGACTCTTTCTATTTTGGTCATCTAAGTAAACAGTTTATAAAAAGTTGTCCCGGCAAAGGAAAGCAGTTCAGTTAAAAAGGGCCTAAATATGGTTTGGGGTTTTTTCCTTTTCCTGTAGTGTGTTATATAGGTTTTTGTGCATGAGGGGCGGGACAATCTCTAAGCGGTTGACCAATCAACAACAGAACCGGCCAGCTAGCCAATCAGAGCAGACTGGGCTCTGTTTCAGACAGAGGGTGAAAAGAGGTGCTGCAGCACAGGCAGTATGAGAAAATAAGAGCTTTTGAACATTAAAGCATGGAGACATGTAGAGACACTAAATACTGATATACAACCTGAACATCAGCAGGAGAGGACTCTTTAAAGAAGAGACACTACATACTGATATACACCTGAACATCAGCAGGAGAGGACTCTTTAAAGTAGAGACACTACATACTGATACACCCTGAACATCAGCAGGAGAGGACTCTTTAAAGTAGAGACAACTACATACTGATATACACCTGAACATCAGCAGGAGAGGACTCTTTAAAGTAGAGACACTATATACTGATATACACCTGAACATCAGCAGGAGAGGACTCTTTAAAGTAGAGACACTACATACTGATATACACCTGAACATCAGCAGGAGAGGACTCTTTAAAGTAGAGACACTACATACTGATATACACCTGAACATCAGCAGGAGAGGACTCTTTAAAAGTAGAGACACTACATACTGATATACACCTGAACATCAGCAGGAGAGGACTCTTTAAAGTAGAGACACTACATACTGATATACACCTGAACATCAGCAGGAGAGGACTCTTTAAAGTAGAGACACTACATACTGATATACACCTGAACATCAGCAGGAGAGGACTCTTTAAAGTAGAGACACTACATACGAATATAACATGAAAAAGAGCATAATAGGGTCCCTTAAACTGCATTACATTCCTTTGCGGGAATATCTAATCAGACATGATTTATACTTGCATGGTTCGCCCAGTTATGATTGATTGTGCTTTTCTTTGTGCAATCCAATGGGCCATGCCTGAACTTGGAGGTCTGCCTGAGGATGTGCACCCTCCTGAAAGACACCCCTCGTCATATGAAATGTGATTTGACCTCAAGTCATTGAACTGAGATCGGGAAAAGGGGAATCGTCAGGGTACATGTCGAGTGGTAAGAGATTGTAGAGTGCAACAGACTCAGGAATGTAACCTTCATAGCTGGGCATGAGCCTTTGAGCTGTGCCAACATTTCAGCCCATTATGCAGCTGAAACCCCTCATTGTTTTATTTAACGTAACAAACACCCTTCCCATCCTGGTGACTGTTTTCTCTAAAAGGGAATGTTGTAGAATTCCTAACTCCTGCCTTGCCTCAGAGGACATTTATAAGATACAATCATTCTGTAATCTGTTGGTTTGTAATGCATGATTTATGTCAACATTGGCCGCCTGAGTGAGTAAATGAAACACTTTAGGAGATTAAAGTGAAAAAAGCAAAATAGTCAGTGTACTATTTATTACACAACAGCTAAAGAAGGAAACACAGAAGCATTTTGAAGAAGTCAGTGTGTAGCAGAGAGAAATATATAGCTTATCCCTATCCACAAAGACCTGCAAAGAGTTATTCACATCCATTTCTGCTAAATACAGTATAAAAGGGCAAGTGTCATGTTCTTGTGTATACGGTGAAGGGTACGTTAACGCTGCACACGCTGATACTTTACTACATGGCAAAGAAATGGCTTCATTACTTGGATGAGTTAGTTTCTGCTGATTGCATTTACTATGTTAATGAGTGGAGACAATCCTGCTAGACACTTGTTTTAGTATTATAATGTGTTGGGCAACATAGCTTCATTTCTGCAATAGCAAACAGCTGCTTCTCCAGCAGTGACGGAGCATCCTCATTATCCATTTGGAGTCCTGTTCATGGACACCTGGTGAATATGAATGTAATGTTCTCTTACAGCTCTTGTTTTTGTGAAATGTGTTTAATCTGTCTACCATTTGGAGCTAAGCTTGTTGGGTTTTAACAAGATTTTCCATTGAAAACAACAACGGGACAGTTGTTGGGCGTACGGCTAAACAGGATTTAATACTGTTAAAAAATAAGGCACATTATCAGACAGTCCCTCCAGGAAGGCATTTATAGTGTTGCACATTAAATAGTCCCCCCCTCAAATCTGGTGGAGTGATCCAGGAAGCAGACCTGATGAAGTATACTGGTAGCTTTATGTCTGAGATCTGCACAAAGACTTCGAAAACCCATCTGTGGATTTGTCTATAAGACCGAATCAATATAGGATGGATATATAATAGATACAAAAATCTATATATCTCCCTTTTTGTATTCCTATTATCCTATTTGACTACTCTACTAGTAACTCCGCCATCCATCCAACTCTCAGCCCTGAGCTAAACATAGCGTGCTTCCCAACCTTCAATTACTTCTTAAGATTTTCCAGCTTTAAAATGCATTAGTGTTTAATATAACTCCAAGCAGCTTTAGCTCAGAAATAGCCCTTTTGATAACTAAAAGCCAGGATTCAGAGGCATCTCGACCTGTAGACTTCATTTAAAAAACACATTTACCTCTTGCTAGGTGTTAACTCCATGTGTTTTTTATTAGCCTAAGTCTCGAAATTAGAGATACAAAAGGTACCAGAACGCCTAATGCTCACAGTCATTATTTCAAATGAGGGTTATTTTCTACCCAACGCACCATTTCCATCACGGTGCATCTGTAGAAAAAGCCTGTCTTTAACGACACATGTCCAACCACAGGCCCTTCTGCCTAGGATGTGGCATGATGTCACCCGCACTGAGCCAGGAAACAATTTAGTCCTCACGTCATTTTGATTCAAGAATAGCTCTTTTACAAAAACACCTGTAATTTATTATGAAATAACAGATAATTGGTTCTAGTTTATGGCCTGCTGTTTATTGTCAGGGGAAATGATTACACTCAGGGCGGCCATTTCCTCTGATGGGAACAGTCCAGCGCTACTGAGTTGGTCCTGCCTTTACTTCTGATGATTGTTAGCTTGTTTTTTTACTACAATAGTGTGATTGTCTTACAGCCATTTCTCTCCTTTCATTGTCCTGTAGCCATTCAATTTTTTCGAAAATTGTGTCACAATTAAATATTGCAATAAATATCCCAACGTTGGTATATTTAAAGAGGCCCTATTATAATTTTGTATGCCATATGGATGGTGCTACAACACATTGTGCGTGAGAGGCTAAGGGGCCGGACATCTCTAAGCTGTTTACCAATCACTCAGCTAACCAATCAGAGCAGACTGGGCTCTGGTTTCAGACAGAGGGTGAAAAGAGGTGCTGCAGCACAGGCAGTATGAGAAAAATAAAGAGCTTTTTGAACATTAAAACATGGAGACATGAAGAGACACTACATACTGATATACACCTGAACATCAGCACGAGAGAACTCTTTAAAGTAGAGACACTACATACTGATATACACCTGAACATCAGCAGGAGAGGACTCTTTAAAGTAGAGACACAACATACTGATATACACCTGAGACATCAGCAGGAGAGGACTCTTTAAAGTAGAGACACTACATACTGATATACACCTGAACATCAGCAGGAGAGGACTCTTTAAAGTAGAGACACTACATACTGATATGAACCTGAACATCAACAAGAGAGGACTCTTTAAAGTAGAGACACTACATACTGATATACACCTGAACATCAGCAGGAGAGGACTCTTTAAAGTAGAGACACTACATACTGATATACACCTGAGCATCAACAGGAGAGGACTCTTTAAAGTAGAGACACTACATACTGATATACACCTGAACATCAGCAGGAGAGGACTCTTTAAAGTGGAGACACTACATACTGATATGAACAATAGGGCCCTTTTTTTAATAATGTGACCTAAATAAAGGTTGAAATACTTCTCACAGACAGTACACCCTGCTCGCTGTATCACTCCTGCCAGAAATCAACAGCTGCTTAAATCCCACTGTTGCACATCCATCACTGAAAGCCTTGCTCGCTAACACAATGAGATATCTGTACTGCAACTATAGTCCCGATAACCTTGCTGAAATGCCATCTGTTTTCAGTATTTCTTAAGAGAAAGACATTGCATCATGGGAACTCTCCGCTTCATATCCTGCTGATCCTATTTTGGCTATTTGATAGTTGGCAGAATACTTCAGACAAGGCTCAGAAAAAGAGACACAAATGACATATTTGGTTGAAAGCAGGCACGGTACCAACGCTGCGGTGACATAGTGACAATGTTCGGAGGCCTGATTGCATGTTTGGACTGCCAGCAGGGTTTGTTAGTTTGTTAGACTGAAATTATATAGGCATAGACAGCGCTATTATACAGAATATAAGGAATACACGTTTAGGTGGAGTTTCCTTCTCTTTTCTATCAAATTCTCCCTGTTGACACGTCAGTGAGTTCTGGGAAAGGTCACTTCTAACATTGTAATCCTGCTAGTAATCACCATATTTCTAAATATCATTTGATAGTTTTGATGTTACTAAGGGAATACAGTGAATTGACCCTAAAAGCAACTCCGTGGTTTACACTCGCACCACAAGAGCTACATGTAAATCTAATACACACCCTGTCAGAAGTGCTGTTCACACAGTCAGGAATAAGTGAAAGGCTCCTTTCAGGTGGCGGGACAGTGGGGGTCTGCACCGCCCAATTTTTGTAACTTTCCGAGCCGCCAGACTAACAGCCACGTCCGCTGCTCACAGACTGGCAAGGTGCACGTAGGTGAGATCTGGGCAGAGGGCTTTCTTTCTCTCTAATGCCCCCGTTCTCCTGCTGAATCAGGACTTTCGCATCCGTGCTACAGCTGTGGTTTTTAGAGAGGAGTTGGCAGAGGTGTATCAGAATCTGAAGGAAGTGTGAACCAACACTAACTTGCACAGGTGGTATTCAACACAAATCTGGACATGTGAAATAATTGATAGTCATTTTGGTGCCTTGCTTACCACTATTAGACTCCAAGAAAGTGTAGATAATTGGTGAACATGAGAGTTTAATCATGATGTCCCAGTCAGAAACAAATGGCTTCTATTAGGATTTGGAAATTGGGTCTTTGCGCTTCAAATGCACAGAGGTTTTCCTACACAAACTGTTTTATTGAATACTCACAAGTCCTTTTTTTATAGCATCAAAATGCCTTTGGTAGAGTGGAAGTAGTCGCTTGTTTTTACATAAAGAAATTGCAAAAGCTTGATCGCAGTTTTGCGTACTGAAGGAGTTGCTTGCTGAAACATCTGTGCATGATATTCCTTTTGGAATTATAAGACTGGAACATTTTACATTAAATGCGACCTCTTTTTCTCTACAACAAAAATCGAATCATTCTGAATTTCTCTTGTTTCTGCTATTTTGCTATTGCATCAACGTGGCAAGTTATACTAATCTTTATTTTAGTTAAGGCAGTGCTTCATATACTTAAAAATGTTCTTTGTATACATGGCACCTGGTTAAATCTTAAGGAATATAGCAGAGCTGCGGGAACACATTTAAGCACAATCGTATTAAAATAATTGATTATAATAAAGTGTGCATGGTCATATAAATCTGCTATACCCTCGAATACCGTTCATTAGAGATTAAGTGGGTTTACTGTATAAATCCCAACAAGCTGCATCACTCTTACCTCCTGATATAATCCCCCCCATGCAGGTGAACAGCTTTCATAAGCAAACATTGTGACCCTTGTAAAGACACTCTGGGTGTGTGTGTCTCTGTGTGTGTGTGTGTGTCTCTGTGTGTGTGTGGACCAGAGGACAAAACAAACCTGTGGGGACTGAAGGCAGCTGTTCCGCATTAAAACACTACATTTCAAGACTAAATGCACACATAAACCCACAGCACTTATGACACCAACACTGGTATTAAACACACACACATGTACCCACTTATGTTGTTGTTTGCAGCTCTTTACAAGACACCACGTGACTGTATAAATAGATGTGTTTAACTTAAATGATTTTAGGGTAATTTGGAGTAATTTAGTATCAGGGACATGGCAACAAGTCAATAAAACCGTGACATCCATGTAGTGTTTCTACAGCTGTCTATCAACTTTCAATTATCTCGCTTTCTCAGGCACGTAATTGCTTGTTTGCTATTAAAATCAAATAGAAAACCTTGTATTCTGATTCATAGGAAATCATTCCAAAATAATTGCATGGTTGCTAAAGTCTAAATTCAACAAGTGGAAGTCTCCAAGTCTCGCCTTGGTTATTTATCTCTGGCATTTTACAGCCTGCCATGTAACGCATAAAAGTCGGAGCTGCGCGCAGTTAAACAAATAAAATCAGGATTGTGAGAAACCGCAGACGGTTCACTGTCTTGTAATTTTACGCACCGACAGCGTTTGACAGATTCACGCACAGGGAGCCACAGGCATGCAACATGCGCCTCTTGGAGCCCAGACAGTAACTTCATGCGACTTTCCAACATTATATAGGCCTAATCCTACATGCACAACAAAAACAACTCCGATTAAAGTAAAAGTATATGTGTGTTTGCGCAGGTGTCTTACCTTTAGGAATAGCCGCAAGAGGTTGAGGAGCATCAGTAGAGAAGACAGAAAGTGCTAACTTCACCCAGCATGAAAACACAAAACAAAACTTGAGGTACTCCATGTCTGTTATTGTGCGTGTGTTTCCCGGACAGAGTGCGCGTGACCGTCCGGAAAGCCCTGCAGGCTCGATATGTGCGCTCTCGCGGTATTAAAAAAAGAAATAATGAAATAAAAACTCTCCAGTGGATGTGAAGTTCAGGCTGAGCTCCGGGAGTTTGAGTTCTGCGAGGCGTGGTTCCTTTATGGTGAGGCTGCTCCCGGTGAGAGATAACGGTGTTCACCCTGACACAGGCACGTCCTGCGCAAAGTGTGACTAAGCACAGCTGTATATGAATCCCCCACCTCCCCCCCCGCCCCAACCCCCTTTACTGTTCCACAGCCCTCCCCCAGGCTCCCCTCCCCCTGACCAACAGTACTCCCCTTTACATGCTCATAAGAGACTTTTCATTCAGACTCATTAGGGGAAATGGGTGGTAAAACTATAAAATATGCATTTAAAATAATTTCAAATGCGATATTTTCACACAAGTTATTTTGATATTTGTTTTGTAGTGTTTTTTTCTTTTCAGTATAGGGATATTTAGCATCAACATGATTTGTACAGTATGAGTAGTAAATTATGCATTCAGATGCTTTACCTAATTTAAAGTAGAAATACCACTTCAGTTTCAAATCAAACTAAATGTACTTAAAGTATCAGAAGCAGCATGTCTCTTTAATTAATAATAATAATAATATTATATAGATTATTGAGTTGTGAGCATTTTTTATCACATTTCATTTAATTAATATATTCATAATCATATTTTTCTCAATTACAACTCAGCTCTACAGCGACACATTTTCGTTCAATTAAAGCCCTATTCTGCTCATGTTCACGTTGATATCAGTATTTAGTGTCTCTACTGTGACATGTCTCCATGCTTTAAAGGTGGGGTAGGTAATTCACTTCAGAAACACTTTTTGTTATATTCCATGGAATGCTCTTAACATCCCGATAGCAATGAATAAATTAAATGCTTTGACAATAAATACATTAAAAAAATGTAATCAGTGGAAGCCGTGGCGCTGTAAAAAGCACGACCAATCATTTGAGTCGGCCCGGGTCAGATAACTGGATGGCCTACCTGCCTGTCAGCCTTCCATCTCGTGCACAAACTTATCTCGTGCCCTCATTGGTCATGTGCGCGTTCGTGTGTGTTGGAGGAGGGGCTCTGTAAGGAAGTCTGAAGGAAGGGGCAGATTTTTTTCGGCTGCGTAGTTTCAAATTCTAGCGCACTCGAGCTTGTTTCTCCATACTTACCAACCCTACCTTTAATGTTCAAAAAGCTCTTTATTTTTCTCTAAATAAATTATATACACACTACCGGAAAGGGAAAACCCCAAAAAGCAGAATAGGGCCTCTTTAAGTTTCTGCCAGTGGAATTACACATTGTTTTCCACACAGCACAAAAGAAAAACCATCCCTCTTCTAACCAACGACAGTATATTGAAATGGCACCTGATGCTGCAGATGTTACTTCCTTACAGTGGTGAAAACACAGAGAGAGAAGTGAAGAGGGAAACAGAAAGCCAACATTTCATTTAGCTTCCATCAACGGTTGCATTGCATGTGTGTCTCTCAGTATATCCAGCCTTGAAACCGATGCTTTTTCTCATGTGTGTCTCCCGTTCCTTATTAGGCGTAACAGACATGCCCCCCGGCGCAAAACCATTCCCGTCTGACTGCCAGTGCCCAGATTGTTTTTCTTAATGACATCACCGGTTTCATGCAGAAAGAGCAGAAGCCAGAGTTTATGAGATGAATTACTTATTTTCCAGAGGCCCTGATAAACCTCCAAAATGTAGACCCAATGCCAGAAAACACAACATAAAGACCTCGCCTTGTGCTCTACAGTGATTCAGCATTTCACTGACTCTAAAGTTAGTGGGTCATGAGAAAATGACCTCTTTAAGTCTTGTGCATCGTGTCTGTGAAGCTCGGACAAACACAGAATGAACCAAAGTATCAATCCTTTTGCTTGCACTCAAAATAAACCTCAAAGAAAGTGTCATTTCACGACTCGGTGACGCACATCTAACATTTCATTTTTGCCCCGTGGGGGACTCTCGACAGCTGGAAAATATAAGTGTTAGTGGTCGCATCTTGGCTGTGCGTGGTAAGAATTAAGCTTCAACTCACTGGCTGAACACCCACCAAACATGTGGAAAGGCTGGGTTTGATTATACCCAGATTACATGTCCAGAGTTTTTAGGAGCAGTTTAATATCCCATCAGAGAACCATTGATCATAATCCTCTATAAATATGAGGACATAATTTCATCTTTTATCTTTCCAAGTCAAGATTTGCAAAGAAATGTGACAAGAACCGAGTGCATTGATGACATTTTAATATGGGATGCATGTGGTGTGGGTGAGTGAATTACATTTAATTACACAAAATGGCACATTCAGAACTGATCCAGGACACCTGCGCATAATTACCTTACCTACCACCCCCCGTCTCCTCAGTAATTCTGCAGAAGGTAGCAGACTCTGGACTGCCTGCACACATTAACTCACAGCTAAATACTAGTGTTTATCAAACCTTAAAAGGATGCTCAGACGCAGGTGGAGTGCGCTGGAGCCTGCTTTTTTTAATTTTGGCTTATCTCAGCGCTAAATAAAACTCCTCCAGCCCACACTGTCCTCGCTTTAGTAGAAGAATCAGAGACAGTGACATCAGTAGACCGTCCTCTATTTTAAGCACTGTTTTGGAGACACTGTGCACTTATATTTAATCAAGCTGAAATTAAAATAACAGATGATTCATTAAGGAGGCAGACTATAAAGGAAAGCAAATATTAGAGTACAACTACATTTTTCCGATGAGGAGGGAAAAGGGACACATGGTAAAATAAGGCTGAAATTGTTCCTCTACTCATTCACTGACCCGTCTTAATGACCGCCATTAATACTTTGATTTCACTTACAGTAATAGCGTGTCTTTTCTAGTTTTAGTCGAAGGAAACGTCATTATTTTAGTAGAGTTTTAGCCGATGGAAACAGATGTATCACAGTCTAAATATTGGTTCCTTTCTCCATAGCACTGTTGTTGTTTTAAATTGTATTTAAAAAAGTGACTCCAGGGGAAACTGAACTGCTGCATTTGAGGACGTAAAGAAAGACAAATACGTTTTCCATTTTGCAAACTACATTGTATTCTTCTCTTCTTATCCTCAACAGCATATTGATAATGCCAACACTTCTTGAATGACATAGATGCCACTTCATCGTCGTCTCCTCTTGGCCGTTGCAAAAGAAAAAGTGTTAGTGGACTGCTCGAGGAGATATCGTAGCCAAAATGACATAACTGCCTGTGGTCGGGACACACCTTAGATTTCCTTCTATTTCCGAAGCAACCCTCTTTTGGCGGTGCCACCGGATGGTTTTGCAATTGCACTGGTGAGTCACAAATCCTAGACATTTCGTCCCCTAAACCTTGCTTGGAAAACCCACAATTGCACTATGATTGTTAAAGAATGGGTTTTATTTTTACCCCCGAACGCTTTGATCGCTCGGCAAGAAGTTAAATTACTAGTCCAGATCAATGGAGAGGGCAGCGCTGCTTTCCCCCCACATCAGATCGTCCTCCTGGGAATTATCTTGACGTCATGCTGTCTACGTGGTCCCACTTACGAGACCATCAGCCCGGGGTGTGGTCTAGGGTTTTCTGGGTGGGGGTTTCATCAACACCACGTTCAGTCTTACACCAAAGAGGCACATTAACAAGCACAGCAAGTACATTTTTGATTCCACCTCAGAGTCTGGCCACAAAAGGAAAAAGAGATTAACCATGGATTCATTCACCTTCATCGTGGGCGGGCGGTCTGCCTTCCTTTGTCTCAGACTACAAACATTATTTTACCGTAAACACTTGAGCAGGATGTTTTATTGACTGAAGATTTACAAAACTATGTGATTTCCATGCTTGCAAAATTGCATTTCTACTGCATAGAAAGAGCTTTTTGTGGGCAGTGCTCCTTGGAAATTACACATAATGACCACGTCTGCTGGCCTCTCATTTGAATGTCATCATTAGATGGTCTTGTTAAACCCACAAGGCTTGAAAAGAAACACCCACGGTAGGTTGAGGAGAAGAGGATGCAACCTTGCATTAACTGTCCTTCTAATTTGCATGCAGTTGGAGGCAATATTGTTTAACACCACCTGAGAAAGTGACCAATGAACACACCACAAGATTTACAGGAGCAGTAACCCATGAAGTGAAGAGGTTAGTACACTGGGCTAGCATTAGTTGGAGTTATTTCAGTAACAAGAAGGTAAATAGCTATTGTTTTTATCTGCAGAGCGACCTCAATCCATTTAACCCAATGTGCAGCTACCTAGCTTTTAGCTGAAGGCTGACCCCTGCCATTTTGCTTTTACGATGCTATGTGTGGGGAGGTCTTTTGGTGTCTTTAAAGCCATTAGTTTCAAAGGGAGGGTCTCACTCGCACTAAATAAACGTGCAGCCGCCGGTTACCAAAACAAAGGATCTAGGAGCTCAGGGGTTGTGACTTCTTTGCATAGCATTCTCTGTATGTCCTTAAGCTCAGATATATAACACTTTACCGTTCGATGTGGCTGCATCTAGACATATTCATAATTACCAAGGAGCATGCACAGCAGGTTAACAAATGTTGAGTGTTTGCACTTGCAATTTAGGCAGCAGTATGTTCCCTACAAACCATTTCTGAGTGAATGAGCATCACTTTTAGGACACCGTGTTGATGGGGTCGAACAGTGCTTGATTTGTTCTCAAAACAACCACCCCCCCTGTTCTGTACTTCACATCTGCTTTCTCTCCCCCCATTGTGTGTATTTGCTGCTTCTCGAGGCTGCACATGTGTTGTTGACCCTAGTGAGCAAACCACTCTGTTTATCTCTCGCTGTGTGTCGGGCAACACAAGTAATCAGAGGAGTTTATTTTTCCTTCCATCTTGGCTATTAAACATTGTTTTTATAAAGACTCTGGTTTCACTGATGCATCGTGATAGTTTCAAGACTGTCCAGACAACAATCAGCCTTTACAATGCCAACGCTATTCAACCCAGCAATTACATGAAACAAACTCTAACAGTTTCAGCTCCTACATGTGTCATAGTGTGAACACAACACAGCAAGAAGCTTGGAAGTTACTCCTTTCATCACAGAGGCAAAGCATCCAAGTTGTTTTTTTACTCCAAGTCGTCAAACTAACCATTTCTGGCATTTTAAAACGTGCAGTTATTTTAAATGATCACGCATTAAGGCTGATATGGTCTCAAATAGAAAGGAAGTCTAATACACGGGATTTTTAAAGCTAACCCTTGCATACTGAAGCTGCTGAAAACATCTGTATCTTTCCCAATAGGTTACTTTTCAGCCAGTAAATCTCTGTTAGGATGACGTCAGTGACATTTCTGGTGTGGGGTCTGGAGGAGTTCTCAGTTATATCTGACATCTAGTTATAGATTACCACTCGGGGTGAGCCCTAAGGAAGTATCCACAGTCTATTCAAAAAGGAGTAACATACAACATTGATCTTTGTCCACCACAGCTGTTTCTGTACTCACTTTAAGTTGGGGAAAGTTCCCAGTGATGTCGATACAAATGTGGGGTGTGAGAGGTACCAACCAAGCACCAAATGTACCATTGCAATTGAAGCCAGCACACATATACAGGCTAGTCAATATACAGATGGTTCAAAAGAAAAAGTGTCTTTTTAAGAGTATGCATGTTGGGGTTTTCTTTTGGTCGTTTGGTTTGTTTAGAACAGGGGTGTCAAACTCAAGGCCCGGGGGCCAAATCCGGCCCGCCACATCATTGTATGTGGCCCACAAGAGCTTGCAAAGAATATAATACGTTTATTATAAGGTTACGTGCTGCTTTACAGGAGCACGTTGCTCATAAACTACATGTCCCACAATGCATCTCATTTTGTGAGATGCGCACTGAAGAGACTTGCCATTAATTGCAATTATTTGCCCTAGACTTCTGCTTTCAGACGTAGTTAATTATGAAGTTATTACCGTATCCGATAATAATCCAATGCAGAGGAAATATTGTTAAATAATACAATATTATATATATATTACATATATTTATCTATGTATATTTATATAGTCTTAAAGTTACCACCGGCCCTTTGAGTGCAACCACAATTCTAATGTGGCCCGCGATGAAATTGAGTTTGACACTCCTGGTTTAGAAGATCAAGTTATTGCCAGCAACGACAGCGACTTTGGCATGTTGTTTTTCCCCATTTAGTGTCATAATGTTGTCCTAGAAACACCTAATGTAACAACAACTACCTCAGAAGCGTTTATGAGTAATTAGCCTGCCTCTCAGTGGACAGATTTTATGAAGGGGCCATTGTTGCCCAACTTTATGCCCTTGGCGTAATCAGTGCTGGTGTGATCCAACTGTTTGTCGTTTGATATAAATTCAAGATTACTTAACTTTGGGCCTTTTTAATCCATTTGGAACATATAGTGATCGACCTGCATTGAGCAACTCTGTTACAGGAATGAGAAATGTTCCCATTACTGAAATAAAATAGGTGTGAGTAATCCTTATCCATCCTCCCTCTGGCCCTCTATGTACAAGCTGTTCATTGTTTTCTAACCACAGCTTGATTAACAATCTGCAGCCAAGTCATATTTCCACTGGCAATGTGTAACACTATCATTATCACCCAAAAGAGGCTTTGCATAACTCACAGAAACTCGGTTTTGAGGTTGTGAATTGTAAAACTTAGTGTGATCTGTGGAAGTATGTTGTATAAGAAACATCCCACAATTCTGAGGTGTACCGCCATGATCTATGAACCCACTGACACCAGCCCTGGCATATGTGGCATATTTCCACAATACTGAGATTGTTATCTTCCATTAATCAAATCAAATAATTGTCACAGGTGTAAAAAGATAAGGAAAAAAGAGTGTATTCACCTTTACAATCTGCAGCACTTCTATTCAAGCCTCTTCAGTCAGTTACTCTTTTCATTGATGTGTGATTAAAAAAAGCTTAAAGGGCCGTTTTTAATGAGACTTCTTTAGGTTGCACCCAAGGTTAAGTGCTGCAGGTTAATAGCTTCCTTGGAAAAAGCTGAAAAATACATTTTCTAATTTCCCTTTTCATGTTGTCCTTCAAGGACATCTGTGTTTGACGTAATCGGCGCAATCAATTACCCCGCAGGCTGGATTTCTGCAGTGAAAATTGCTGTAAAAAAAAAGGTGAAGGTAGCCATTAAAGCAACTGGTGAACTCCAATCATTAACAAGCAAACCAGAGTGGATTAGCATGAACATTTACAAGGTCTGACGATTGTAAAACTCACTGTTAAACTGTATTGAAAGGCCTGTGGGCACTCATGTAAAAGCATTTTCCATTTTAAGTGTTGCTCTTTTGAGGCGAAATGGATTTGGTTAATAAGGAAACTGCACACGTCACAATATATTTTTTATTTTGTACTATATTTGCACAACTTAAGCTAAGCTCACAGAGTTTGCATTCATCACATTACACAAATTAGTTCAAAGTTTTAGTGCAAAAGTATAAGAATAAGTTGTGTTTCTATATCTGAGTGGGAATAGATTAACTCCCGTTTTTGGCTTTTAAACACAAAGAGGACGCAGCACCAGCACCTCGTACTATTAACCCTTTCAAGCGATGATCAGGGTAATCTTAGTGGCAAGAAAATCATCTGAATTCACTTGAATAAAGTGATTTCTAATAAAAAAACTTAAGTCGTTATGACTGAGTGAAACATTTGAAGTGTTAGCTTTGAAAATTAGCTCATAAAGGGGGGGCAATAATCAAAACACATGACACAAGAACATTTATGATAGACAAGCTTTTCAAAATGGCAGTGTACTATACTTCATTAAAAGAAAAAAAAATAACACTAAATATTAGAAAATAACTTAAAATGTATGTTTTCCTCTCATTTTCCTGAACCACAATTAACATCATATAATGACCGTGATGTTGGAAAATAGTTTATATCATATCAAGATCATTCACTAGAGTTAAATATAATTCTCCATTAAAGGGAAAGTCTTAAATTCAACATGTTACTTAAGTAGAAGTACAGAAGTAACTCTTTTCACAATAATACATTTGTTGTACTGTCATTTCTTATCCTATTCTTTTTGTATTATACATGTCAGGGCATTTTAATGTTGGAGTACGTCAATCTGGAGCCAATATATGATACTTTTTCTAATACCAGTTTGTATTTGTATATAATGGTGGTGCTATTGGTGTTATTATATATGCAAATCGCACGTTTTAATATGTAAAAAGTAACTATGAGTTTTGAATAACTGTAGTGGAGTAGAAGTTCTAAGTCCAATTATATCAAAATAAGTTTGGTACTTGAGTGCTTTGTTACTTCCCACTACTGTAATGGTTACAAATAAATGTTTACCCCTTTATTTGATGAGTTGATGAACAAAATCCCCCCCCAAAGAGTACTCCTTCATTATATCCATAGTACGAGGTGCAGGTGTGTGTTCCCTGGTGCCAGCAGTAGCTAACATCACAATAAACAGCCGCATGCATTCCAACCTGAGTTTGTCCAAAGAAAATACAACTAATTTCCCAATCAAAACTTTATGGCATAAGCAGGGATTCTCCTAAAATGAAAAGCTAGCTCCCTCGTGTGGACAAGACGGGGTGCACAGCCACAACCCCTCCGTTCAGTAATGATAATGCATAACTGTTATGGCATTACAAATATTATAGTACGCTTATGATGCTTCAGTTACACACACTCATAGCACACATACAATCGTATAAAGCAGAGCACACACACATGACCAAAATATATAAATAAATAGAAGCTTATCTACACTAGAAACTGCACAATATAGCTAAGAGCATTATATATTAACATGTTGACTATTGATTTGATCAAATTACACAAGTGCTTTTTGGCTAAACACTCCTAAAGTACTCCGTGTGTAACAGCTCTTGCCTGCATGGTGTTCCCTTTTACTGATATAAGGACGGTATCTTAATATTCAAGTGTCTTCAGTAGTAACGAAATATTCTTTACGGTCTCAGCTCGTTTCTCTCAATGGAAATGTTTTTCACCTGGTGTTTGCACTTGTAGGCCACCGTAGTTCGAGGCCTACATAAGCGACAGTAATGTAAACACAAATGAAGCTTTGCCTAGAAACACTGCACTGTGCACTCGCAGCTTAGTCACAAACAACCTGAGCAGCTAAGACTAAAACAAACCTTTTTAAATCATTGTTCATGCAAAACTGCAACATTAAGGTACGTTTTGGTAGTCCCTTTTTTAAAACATCTGGTCCAGAGGTTGTTCTATGCTCGGGCGTTTTGTTCTGATCATGGCTTTCCAGAAATGATTACATGAATATCCTGTATGGCTCCTAGTTGTTCGATTCAAAGAACATGAAGTCCTGTGTGGAAAAACACCAAGAAGAACGTGTTAAAGGCAAAGAAATCATGCATTATAGTGACACAGAATGAATGTTAAAATATAGCTGGAGGATATAAATGATTCCCTGATATGTCCCAGCCAACTCAACGTCTTAGCATTGGAGCACTTTAGCTCATGTGGTGTGCTGCTACAGAAAGAAGCTGTGGTGATTGGGGTGGTTTCAGGTCACATTTCCCACACAATGTAGGCTAAGTGGTGCATTAAGTGGTAGGTACATGCAGTTTCCGACTACCAGTGAGAACATGAGTGCCCATAAAAGTTGGGTCATGTGAGGTGACTGCCTCTGTCATTTCAAAATGTTAACTCTTGTTTTGCTGTGAGAGAATCTATAACTCGACAGTAAATAGTGTTGCTGTTTTGACGTTGACCAACAGCAAAGACTTTACTCACGATGAGAAAACACGCTCCGATCATCGTAGCCTTCATCTTCACGTCCAGGTCCATGGGGAACTGGATACCAAAGTTGTCTGAATCTGTGAAGACTTCCCGTAGAAGTCCTGTCCACTGCTTACTGATCTTCCCAATCTGGGTGACTTCGTCCATCGTCAAAATCTGAGGAAGATCAATCCATCACGTTTTACTGAAGGGTAATCTTGGGAATATTCATAATGTCGTGTCAACTTGAATTTTCTGTCCTAGTAATAACTTCAAAGCTGCAAGAGAGGAACTTCCATGGTAATATCACGCTTCAGTTCCCCCTTCTCTAGGTCTTGCAAAAGGTCTCAATCGTTGACCCAAATCCCCTTCACAGCTCAATCTAATAAAACCAGCTGAGCGTGCAACAATGGCCGCTCTGTGCCGCACAGGGGCGTGCCCTGTGCGGCGGCTCGATCCAGACTAAGGCCCGCTCTGATTGGAAACATATTTCCTGCACCAGAGCATGAGGAGGATCCTTTACAAGAGATGTCCAGAGGGCGAGAGCGGCCGTGTCCCGTTAGGTTTGCACACATTTAAAGGTCACCTATGATGGAAAATCCTCTTCTTCATGTCTCTTCTACATCAACATGTGTACCCTCTTCTTCATGTCTCTTCTACATCAACTTGTGTCCCCTCTTCTTCATGTCTTCTCTACATCAACATGTGTCCCCTCTTCTCCATGTCTCTTCTACATCAACATGTGTCCCCTCTTCTTCATGTCTCTTCTACATCAACATGTGTACCCTCTTCTTCATGTCTCTTCTACATCAACATGTGTCCCCTCTTCTTCATGTCTCTTCTACATCAACATGTGTCCCCTCTTCTTCATGTCTCTTCTACATCAACACGTGTCCCCTCTTCTTCATGTCTCTTCTACATCAACACGTGTCCCCTCTTCTTCATGTCTCTTCTACATCAACATGTGTCCCCTCTTCTCCATGTCTCTTCTACATCAACATGTGTCCCCTCTTCTTCATGTCTCTTCTACATCAACATGTGTCCCCTCTTCTTCATGTCTCTTCTACATCAACACGTGTCCCCTCTTCTTCATGTCTCTTCTACATCAACACGTGTCCCCTCTTCTTCATGTCTCTTCTACATCAACACGTGTCCCCTCTTCTTCATGTCTCTTCTACATCAACACGTGTCCCCTCTTCTTCATGTCTCTTCTACATCAACATGTGTCCCCTCTTCTTCATGTCTCTTCTACATCAACACGTGTCCCCTCTTCTTCATGTCTCTTCTTCATCAACATGTGTCCCCTCTTCTCCATGTCTCTTCTACATCAACATGTGTCCCCTCTTCTTCATGTCTCTTCTTCATCAACATGTGTCCCCTCTGTGTAAAGAGACTCTGAAAGTTTCAGGAACAAAGATTCTCTCTCTTTTTGTCCTGATCCATTTCTATAAAAACCTGTCTGAAAATGAGCTGATCAGATTTTGGCCACTTTATGATGTCATAACGATTTGTTTGGCTTGTGTAACCATTAGCCAATCAGTAACCAAGGTAACCCCCCCCCCCCCCCCACCTTATCACCTGAATCTCCTCCTAGAGCACCATTGTGTTCTTTGTAACCAAATCTCTCTCTCTGAGGGGCGTGGGGAGGGGCTCCTTATTTTCATCTAAAGTAACAGACAGAGAATCAGCACTTTGGAAACAGGGCTGAAACAGAGGGGATTATGGGTAATGCTGCAATGATCTGTTTGGTGTTTCAGCCAATCAGAGACATGTTCTGTATATATCTGAGACCTATAATAAAGTAATGAAAAACAGTATAATCGGGGACCTTAGGGAGTTTAGATGAACCCACCTCAAAGTCAACATCTGGCAGGCAGCTCCACCCACAGAACGGCCCGTGGATCTTCAGCACAGGCTCGTTGTTTTCGTCCGACACGATGAATTTGGGGGAGAACGGGTGCCACTGTTGTCTAACGTACCCCACTGTGTTCCCAGGGGGAGACTGCACCTCCAGCTGAGTGAGGGAGAACAGAGTGGGATTAGTCCTCATATCCTCAAAACACTGGATTTAATGGACTTAATGTGTGTTTGGCTCACCTCTTGTAGGCAGCAGGGGCAGCAGCAAGCTGTGCAGTTCAGCGGTCTGGTGATGGTGATGACCTTCTGTCCGTTGTTGTCCACGACGTGGATGGTGAAGGAGCGCATGGGACCGCAGCACTGTCGAGTCAGACAGTCGTTCTCCTCCAGAGCGTAGAACACATCCTGACCCATGCTGTTACGGATCTCATACTTGTTGTTGCTTTCAAAACCAATCAGGGCTGCATAGGAGGAACAATACGTAAAGATATGTCCGTGTTATAAAGACAAAACCTGCAAAACCCATCTTAACTCAAAAGTCTCTTAAGGATTACGTTCCTATATGGTAAATGGACTGTACTTATATAGCGCTTTATCCAGTCTTTAAGACCCCTCAAAGCGCTTTACATACTACATGTCGTTCACCCATTCATACAGAGCAGTGTACCTTACTCTAGGAACTAACATTCACACACCGTTGGCCATCGGGAGCAACTCAGGGTTAAGTATCTCGCCCAAGGATACATCGACATATTGACTGCATGGGCTGGGATCGAACCCACAACCTTCTGGTTGAAAGACGACCGCACTCCCTCGCAGCCACAGTCGCCCTATAGAACAAAACTTCTTCGTCGTAACGCGTTGTGGGAAGTGTGTTTTCTCCCGGAAGAGAATACTTTTCATGCTTCTTAAACTAAGTTGTTCACAAAAACACAGGGCTTTCACCAGTTTAAGGTCCCGTGTGAAACAAAAAGGCAACGTCTTCGTGTTTATCTTTATAACTTAAAGTGGACCTATCATGCTATATTATAATAATATAGTGTAGGACCATACCTATAAAAAGGCATATTTATACTTTTTTTTTTCTTTCAAAATACCAAACAGATCATGCATTTTAGCCATGCCTCATTTTGCTCAATTTGCACTTATTTAGCTCTGTTTTTGCAAGGGCAGATTCAGTGAGAACAGCACCATCTACAGGCCTGGCATATGTACTACAGCGTCTCCAGCGCTTTCGAACGGCAATGGCCGTGGCTGTCTCCTCCTGATTGGTGGAGTTGGCCCAATAGCCGTAGCGCCACTGTCCTGACGTCAGGACAGTGTTCAAATCTGGATCAGTTTTTATCAGATCCGTTGCAGCCCCTTTTTTTAGAGATTTGGGTATGGAGGAAAATAGAGAGGGTTGTGTTTTCTGAAACTTGGTGAGTTCCCTGGAACACCGGGGACACATATTCATGTAGAAAAGACGTACAAAAGTGCATTTTGCATGATAGGTCCCCTTTAAATTACAAACCTACATTTTTTAAGCCAAACATAAGTTTTTACTAAACCCAACCGAGTATTTTTGTCACCTAAATACCAGTATTTGTTCTTGCATATCTTGGTTTTGTCTAGGGTTGGTACTTAACATAACTAGCAGCACAACTGATTTATTTTCTCACGTACAAATACTTTACCTTCAGCAAGCTCAACTTTCTGTTTGATGAGGAGCTGATCCACCTAGGAGAAAAGAGAACCACATACACAGTTCAGTGGGGTAGGTGTAGTTGGAGGGGAGGGCCTAAAAGTCCATTATTATTAATATATATTGTCATGTACTTCTCTATCATCACTGATGTAAAAATGTTCCAAAACTGAAATGGTAGTCCAGTTTTAAGGCTTTAAATCTGCAGGAGTGTTGAGGAACTCCCCTCTCCTAAAGATCCTAGGTGTTACCGCTAACATTAGGGCATTGATCCTTGACGGTGACTCAGCATAATAACAGAGGCCTGAAACTTGAGCTGCTTCATGGAATAAAGCTTTCATTCGTTCAATTATTTACACGTGTGCTTAGTCTACTGTGGCACGTCAACCTTTCCTTAAATGAAGGCCCATCATTTGTTGCATCTGAGCATTACAATATGTGTATATTCACATTTAGGATGTTTTAAAAAGACTTGGAAAGGAGGTGGTATAGCTGCTTCTTCATTTTCTACTGCCACTGGACATGTGGGAAAATTTAAATTCAAACATATTCTCTGCCGTTTAACCCTCCTGTTAGTTTCCCCCCCCCCTTACTTTGGTGTTCGCGGTCAAATTTGACCGGTCCTGTTTTAACTGCTATCACATGAACACAAAAATCATTAATCATCACCAAATGTCATTTAACACCCTTTCAAACTGTAAATATTGTATCAGACTACTGGTATACAAACTGCAGTAAATATACAAAGAATAGACACTGAACATGTATTGCGTGGGCCAGGTGTGATCCATGTGGGGGGATGGGCATGTGTGCGTGAGTGCGTGCGTGTGTGTGGGAGGCTGTGGCTCAGTGGGATTGTGCGCTGAATTTAGTGCGCTGAACTTTGAATCACGGGGTAGCAAGTTCGAGTCCCACTGCAGTCAGCATGTCGTTGTGTCCCTGGGCAAGACTCTTCACCCCAAATTGCTCCTGTGGGGATTGCCCACAGTATTGAATGTATGTAAGTCGCTTTGGATAAAAGCGTCTAACAAGTAACGTGTGTGTGTGTGTGTGTGATCTGACCCGATCGGTTACTAATTCCTTTTCTTTATGGCGGTCATTTTTGACCGGGAACACCATGGGTGTTACAAAGTTGACAGCAATTGTATATGTTCAAATGTCTACTGTGAAGGATATCATAAAGCCTTAATGCAATCGAATGTAAAACAAAAAATGTATGATTGCTGTAAGTAGTAAATCGGTCAGATTTGACCCGAACACAACAGGAGACTTTATGTAGACAATTGAGCTTCTTCATAGAAAACGTTCAGACTCATTGCATTAGGAAGAGCATATGTGTACATCATTGAATTAACCAAGGCTAGTTTCCATGGTATTGTGCACGCTGTAACTGGAACACTTGAATAGGATGGAGCTATTGCCAGGGTTATTTATAACATCCGTGCTTGTCCTAATATGACATATTGAGAAATGAACTGGCCACTGGACCAGAAGGCACTTATATGCAACATTTGTAAGCAAAACTTAAATGATTTAACACATTGTAATACTTGAAATCTGATGCAACATACAGAGATAAGGCTATTTCCACCCCAGGGTTGCAAGTGTTACATACATATACGTTACATACAACTAGCTATTGTTACCTGAGTCAGGTATTCTAACCCTGGTGGACATCCGGGTATTTCCTGGTTGGGCACAGGCACTTCATACATATCCATTTTGATGGACTTGAAGGGAGACCTGTTGATAAATGCAGTGATTAAAGCTAAGATTTAGCGCCATCTTGTGCCTTTTTTAGGGTGACACACGAGCCAATAAAACAAATAATAATAACTTTATTTAAACAGCATTTCTCAAAACAGTTGCAAAGTGCTTTTAGATGGATTAAAAACAAGCCGTTCAGGCGGAAACAGAACACGAGGTCAACCATCCCCACCCTGTAAGATGTACAACAATAGCAACAATGATAACATGGAGAAACGAAAGTAAATTAAATAACACATGGATGCTCAGTCAAACCGAGCAGTGACATCATTACTGTAGGTACAGGCTTTAATAAAAACAACAGAGTTGACCAAAGTGCTGTACATCAATAAATATATAAAAAGCAGCATACATACATTTAGACAAAACCGATAGGACAAAAGTAATCTAATGTAAAAGCACGAGACAATAAAACCATCCGTATAGCAACAGACTGAACACCCTCATGCATGATGTAAAAACATTTTAAAACACAACAAAATAGAAAAAACAAACAATTGGATGGACATGTCTCTTTTCTGTGCAATATTTTTTATCAAGAAGCCCCCCTTGTCCTCATGTGGCCCGGCCCTTTTTGCGATGTAAACACGGATTGAAGCTGGGAGGGGCTGCAGAAACACGGATAATCTCGGGTGTTTCTGGAAGCTTCAGACGGGAAGACCACCATCACAAATCCTCTTTCTAGGATTACGCGCAAACAACAGGCCTGAACCCAAACAGGCTGCACGGTTTATCTCCAATATGTAGCTCTCTCCTGACTGATAATACTGAGGGGTGGGATGTTTACAAGCTATAAACGCGCACGCGGTGGATTTATAAGCGTAGTTGTCATTCAAACAACACGTCGAGTTGTTAAAAGTGACGTCAACACTTCTTATTTTCCATCAAAACAGACTGGTGTTTTTAATCGGAATCAGAAATACTCACCGTTATTTCATGTGCTGCTCAGAATAATAACAGGCCACTCCGGAACCAAGCCTCTGGAATAAAACTGTGTTCTGATTGGTCGACATCATCCTACTTCCTATTTACAAGCGCCAATGAGAAGCAAGGATTGTAGAATAGCGCTTAACAGAACAGAGGAGAGTATAGAGCTGAATATAATAGAACATATCTATCTATATTTAAGTCATATTGTGCATTTTTTTTAATAGTTTGACATACACAAGAGGAAAATGTTGCATTGGTTTATTCATTTACAGTAGTTATTTGTTTTTCCCTGGTGAAAGCACTTTGAATTGCCTTGTGTTGAAAGGTGCTATATAAATAAACTTGCCTTGCCTTGCCTTGCCTTGGTGTTTCTGATTACACATCATTATTGTGCTTGTTTCAGGCAAATGTATAGTAATACATTAACAGACAACAATTATTCAACAGAAACATTAACATAATTCCTTTTTTTTCTTCTTTAGGCTCGATGTCACCAATAACATAACACTTTAAGAGTTTAAAGGTTTACATAATTATCTCTAGGTCATACTACTGCATCATAGCTAGTAACTATCCATGTTTAATAATTAGATTGGAGTAAATAGACATTTATTGCCTTGGAAATGTAGTCAAGTCAAGTAGAGGTATATGTAGCATAACATTGAAATACTCAAGTAATGTACAAGTATGTGAAAGTAGTATTTAAGTATAGTTCTTTTACACTTTTTGAAATGAGTACTTTTCCTTTTGGTGATTTCAGTAGATTTTGGTGACACACATCCTTGTATACATTCATATTAAAAGTAGTATGGGAAGACAATTTAAAGACTTCCAACCCATTCTTAGAGTTCGAAATTAAGTCTGTGCAGATAAATAGGACACATACCGCCTTGAAAAACCCCACATTTGTATATTAACACAATGTAAATGTGGTATATGTGCAGCCACTAACATACTGTAAAAACTAAATGCATGCTGTCCTTCAGGAATAGCATTGCTCTTCTGCTAAAGGTATATTTATAATATCAGATAGGGCTGCACGATATTGGAAAAAACTGACATTGCGATATATATTTTCTTCCCCTGCGATATATATTGCGATATGAAAATAGTTTTTTTTGTCTGCAAACCATCCTTTCTTGAACTTTAATGCTATGAAATTGGTATTTTTTTAACGATATTTAACCGGATGAAGGATTTTAGTCACAGACTTCTGGATCTTATCAGAGCAACAATCTGAGCTAGCTCGGTTATCCTGTGATCTGATCAAGAATGATTGTGATTGGTGGTTTGCTGTGCATGCTCTCATGTCAGGGGTACTTGAGTGAGTGACATGCAGTCACTCACTCAAGTACCCCTGACATGAGAGCCGCTCGAGTTTTCCTTTTGTAGCAAGCAGCAAAATAATTGTAACATGACGTGTTTGAGTTCATTTGCCTACTTAATATCGGAAGTCCTACGATGTGAATATCGCACATGATATATCGTGCAGCCCTAATATCAGATGTCAAACAGATATTTAGTTACATCTACTAAATGTAGAGGGGGGGGGGGGTGCTAATTTACTAGCGGAGGCGTGTGGTGCAGTGGGTTAGTGCGTTGGTGTTGGGATCAGGGGGTCACAGGTTCAAACCCCACTGCAGTCAGCATGTCGTTGTGTCCCTGAGACACTTCACCCCAAATTGCTCCTGTGGGGATTGTCCACAGTATTGAGTATGTAAGTCGCTTTGGATAAAAGCGTCTAACAAGTAATGTAATGTAATCTACTTTATTCTAGCAAATTGCATGTTATGGAAGACACAAGTGTTCCCATCCCTAGAACAGAGGGTGAATAATTGTTCCCAGATGTAAGCACAGAGCTGTACTCCATGTCAGTCAGCTGCACACACAAGTATAGTGTCATTATTATATTTAAGGACATGCAGTTTTGTGGGAGTTTGTTCCAGATATTTGGAGCCTAATAACTGAACGCTGCTTCTCCATGTTTGATTCTGAGTCTGGACAGAAAGCAGAGCCGTCCCAGAAGAGGTTTTGGGAGGTTCATCATGTAGCAGGAGGTCAGAATAAACCCTTCAGTGCTTTATAAACCAGCAGCATCTTTAACAGACAGGAAGCCCGTGTTAGTGAGGACTCGAGCAGCAGCGTTCACAATCAGCTGCAGCTGTCTGGAGCTGTAAAGAAACTGTTACAGTCGATGAGTCTACTGAAGATAAATGCATGGACACGTTTTCCAAATCCTGCTTAACTCGATATATTCCCAAGGTGATAGTAAGCTCGTTAATTGTCTTAATGTGTTGAAATTCAGGTCATGATTAGACCTAGATTTCTGACCCTTTTTCGTTTTGAGCAAGTGCAGACTTATATTAGTTCCTCCTTTGTTATGCTGTACTGCATGCATCATATTATATCAGAAAAAGGGGTGGTTTTAATAAGTTAAATTACAGACTTAATACGTTAGGAACACAGCTACGTTTTAACATTTTGAATCTTTACTAACACTTGACATGTTGCGAGTGTTATTTCACTCTGAATCCACTGGAGAGCAGTGTTGAGCTAATGATGCTCGGCTTCATGGCCATTACTGAGACTAATGCACAAATTGCCTTTTCATTGTTAAACCAAATAGTCCCAAACAGACACACACTACTATACACACTCGCAAATACTACCCTGTTACAAATGACACGATGCTGTTGGGCCGGGTCTCCTTATTTGCGGATACAAATTACCTGATTTCCTCAAGCGCTGCTGATTTCTCCAGGAAACACTAATGAGAACAAACGATGACTCGCGCACAGATCTGCTGACACTTCAGGCACACACAACTAAAAACACGTTTTAATTGATTCATGTTACTATAATTGCTTACAGTGACCTGACACAGCCGAGAAAAACACTGCCTGCATAATAAGTAGTGTGTTTTCTGCTGCAGCAACAAACACATGTATCATATTTTGTGTTTTCATTAAGCTTTAAACACACTGCATCACATGTTGGTAGCCTATGATTCACCCCTGAACCCTGAGACTCATGTTCTTCATCAGTGAGATCAAAACAAGGTAATGCAATGACTCTGAAATGGTGGCGCTCTGTGCTCCCATCTGAGTAAACAGAGCAGACAGTCAGGGGTCTTTGAAAGCCAGTCAGATTGTCTTTCTGACTCCAAGAGCCCAGTAACTCCCACCAGGGGAGTGTGTGTGTGTGTGTGTGTGCGTGTGTGTGCGTGTGTGTGAGAGAGAGAGAGAAAGTGTGTGTCTGCTCTCTACATTCCTACCTGTTTTACCATTTTTCTGTTTGTGTTTTTCTGTGTGTTAAGGTGGTGCTCTTTACCCGCTTGGGTAATCTTTCGTGCACTCCTAACGAGGTTGTCATATCGGCCGTATAATGAGGAGGCTAAGGATGAATGTAAAAATGGCTCCATTACACCACTTTCATCCTCTTGTTCATTAGGTTAGCATAAGGTTACAATACATTACACCGCTCCCAATGTTCCGCACACAAATTGCACGTGTCACTGAGGGCTTGTGTGTTAGTGTGCTATGATAATATTCACTCATGTACACACAAACACGTTACTGTACCTGCTTCACCTTAACCCTTAACTGAACCTCAGCATAATACTCCGACTAAATCTGACTTGTTCACAGTCCTTACTTTAGGGGAAATGCACTGCATGACAGCAGCAAAGGTAGTGTCGATGAAATACAAATAATAACAAAATATATTAAAATTAGTCAAAATGTAAATATATAAAATATGATATCTGCAGAGTAGTTATTACACATATCACAATTGCAATGGTTTTCTACTACGATATGTGTGATTTACACCCTAAACACGAGAAACATGGAATCTTTTGTGCATATTTTCATTAACTGTGGATGTCCAAAATGCGCCCCATTCGCCCCTTTTGTTATTCCGTCTCTGTCTCCTCACCTCTGCCCATCCCTCACCTCCCTCCCTCTTTTTATTTCTCCCATTTCTGCACCCCTGTCAAGTGCTTTGTTTGCTGTGACTTTCCATGCGGTTATCTGAGCGGAGACAGTATGCCTCACCCTGGCACAGGACCTCAGTTTCCACGGCAACTTTATAATTGTTTTGGATGCGTTCCAGACGCCACTGGATACCGAGGCATTATTGATGTCAAAAGAAACATGTATGAAATGAGGAGATGTGGAGGCGTCCATATGGTTCTGTACACAGCCTCATGCAAAGCCATTTACCCGTTTTTCAATGGGAGTTTTGTGATAGCGCTGAATAGATCCCACATGTGTCGCATGATATTTCATAATTTTGATCTTTCTGTTCCACAAAGGGATAATGGCACGCAATACAAGCCAGTGAACTGTGCAATATTTCCCCTATTCACGTCATTAAGTCATTGTCACAGTATGCACGGCTGTGGAGAGTATGGCAACCTGACTGAATACAATATGTCCATCATGACAAAAAAAAAAAAAATCTGAATATTGTTAGAAAGACGTCCATTGAAACATATGAGAAAGATGCACCAGAAGATGTCTCCAGTTAGCGTTAAGTGCATCGCTGCCGGCTTCTTCCACTTCAAGTATAGCCTTTGTTTTGACAGGAGAGGCTGTTTGAGTTATCCCAGTGGTTGTCACCATATTGTGCCCCCCCCCACCCCCCCATAGCCCAGAAGCACCTCTGAGCCATGAGCTGCAGCCACATTAACCACTACACCGCAACACTCATTAAAATAACATATAGTGTCAACAGCAGTGTGGCCCCAAGTGGAAAAGCTCCAAAATGCTCCGTCTCAACTTAATCCTCAGACCTGTCTTTACATCGAGCAGCATGTCTTACGGCTGCATATGAAACTTTTTGTATCACAGAATGTGCGATAGAAACGACCTGAAATGAGGTCCTGACTGATCTTTTTTCTCTGATCTCAAACCTCCCCTCGCTTAATTTATGACCTGTGAGGAGAAACCCAGGGAGTGAGAAGTGAGTGAGACTGGTGTGAAAGCCCTGAATAGAGCAGGGGCAACAGGCCCTCCAAATAACACAAAAGAGGCACCACAGCTGTTTGGGAG